CCTAGCCCTCCCTGCAATGCTAAAGCCCTAAATGAAGCAAGTCTAGATTTCCCCAGGTTCCCAACCCACTGGATCTCCTTTTCAATTTAAATGGGTTTATATGTTACTTTCAAAATGATATATATTCAAGGACTAAGCGTTAGTCTAGCAGTGAAACTGTGTTAGATCAGACAACAGCTAATGTTGGTTCAGATGGCAGGTTTTGTGTGATGTGTTATGGAGTGTTGGTCACTGACAGGTACTATAAAACACACACACCATGGCATTCCAGGTAATAACTGGTCCGCAGTGACTTGTGCTGTTCATGAGAGGTCACAAAATGGATCGGGTCATCAGGCTTGTCCCTACACTTCAGTGTTGTACATGATGCTCTCAGTATTTGTTACTAGATTGTCAGTGTCGGAATCAGATGTCTACACACACATCGCATCTATTGCAATCAGAAGTTGTCTATCAATAGAAAGGTTTCCTTTTCATCATGCCAGCTTCTAAATGCCACTTCAAGGAGAAAACATTGTCACAAAATATCCACTGAAATAAATAAATGTATATGCTGATGTGTAAATATATGAATATCACAGTCAGGTGTTTTTCCCACATTTTCATAAGGAGGCCATATTTCATGGTTATAATTGATATATGGCACCAAAGATACCTGCTATTCTAGTACTTAATGATTAATGTAGGAAACTGATCACAGATGTATGCCCCTCCCCACTGACCACATATGTATGCCCCTCCCCACTGAGCACAGATGTAAGTCCCTCCCCACTGACCACATATGTATGCCCCTCCCCACTCCCAGATGTATGCCCCCCTCCCCACTGATCACAGATGTATGCCCTCCCCACTGACCACAGATGTATGCCCCCCCACTGATCACAGATGTATGCCCCTCCCCACTGACCACAGGTGTATGCCCTCCCCACTGTACAGATGCCCCTCCCCACTGATCACAGATGTATGCCTCTCCCCACTGACCACAGATGTATGCTCCCCACTGACCACAGATGTATGCCCCTCCCACTGATCACAGGTGTATGCCCCTTCCCACTCCACAGATGTATGCCACTGTATGCCCCTCCCCACTGATCACAGGTGTATGCCCCTCCCACTGATCACACAGATGTATGCCCCTCTCCCCACTGACCACAGATGTATGCCCTCCCCACTGACCACAGATGTATGCCCTCCCCACTGATCACAGGTGTATGCCCTCCCCCACTGACCACAGATGTATGCCCCTCCCCACTGATCACAGATGTATGCCCCTCACTGACCACAGATGTATGCCCCTCTCCCCACTGATCACAGATGTATGCCCCTCCCCACTGATCACACATGTATGCCCCTCCCCACTGATCACAGATGTATGCCCCCACTGACCACAGATGTATGCCCTCTCCCCACTGATCACAGATGTATGCCCCTCCCTGATTGATCACAGATGTATGCTGCCCTCCCACTGACCACAGATGTATGCCCTCCCCACTGATCACAGATGTATGCCCCTCCCCACTGATCACAGATGTATGCCCCACTCACCACCACATGTATGCCCCTATGCCCCAGGTCCCCTCCCCACTGATCACAGATGTATGCCCCTCCCCACTGATCACAGATGTATTCCTCCCCCACTGATCACACTGATCACAGATGGACCATGTATGCTCCCCACTGATCACAGATGTATGCTCCCCACTGACACAGATGTATGCCCCACTCCCTACTGATGCCCACCCTACTGTATGCCCTCCCCACTGACCACAGGTGTATGCCATTCACTGACCACACATATGCCCCCCTCCCCACTGATCACACATGTAAGTCCCTCCCCCACTGACCACCAGATGTATGCCCTCCCCACTGATCACTGATGGATGCCATTCCTCACTGACCACATGTGTATGCCCCTCCCCACTGACCACAGATGTATGCCCTCCCCACTGACCACAGATGTATGCCCTCTCCCACTGATCACAGATGGATGCCATTCCCTCACTGACCACACATGTATGCCCTCCCCCACTGATCACAGATGTATGCCCTCCCCCACTGACCACAGGTGTATGCCATTCCTCACTGACCACACATGTATGCCCCCTCCCCACTGATCACACAGATGTGTATGCCCCTCCCCACTGATCACATATGTATGCCCTCCCCACTGATCACAGATGTATGCCATTCCTCACTGACCACACATGTATGCCCCTCCCCACTGATCACAGATGTATGCCCCTCCCCACTGATCACAGATGGATGCCATTCCTCACTGACCATGTGTATGCTCCTCCCTACTGACCACAAATTTATGCCCCTCCCTACTGATCACAGATTTATGCCCCTCCCCACTGACCACAGGTGTATGCCATTCCTCACTGACCACACATGTATGCCCCTCCCCACTGATCACACATGTATGCCCCTCCCCACTGATCACATATGTATGCCCCTCCCCACTGATCACATATGGATGCCATTCCTCACTGGCCACACATGTATGCCCCTCCCCACTGATCACAGATGGATGCCATTCCTCACTGACCACATGTGTATGCTCCTCCCTACTGACCACAAATTTATGCCCCTCCCTACTGATCACAGATTTATGCCCCTCCCTACTGATCACAGATGTATGCCCGTCCCCACTTACCACACATGTATGCTCCCCACTGACCACAGATGTATGTCCCTCCCCACTGATCACAGATTTATGCCCCTCCCTACTGTTCACAGATTTATGCCCCTCCCTACTGATCACAGATGTATGCCCCTCCCCACTGATCACAGATGTATGCCCCTCCCCACTGATCACAGATGTATGCCCCTCCCCACTGATCACAGATGTATGCCCCTCCCCACTGATCACAGATTGATGCCCCTCCCTACTGATCACAGATGTATGCCCCTCCCCACTGACCACAGGTGTATGCCATTCCTCACTGACCACACATGTATGCCCCTCCCCACTGATCACATGTATGCCCCTCCCACTGACCACACAGATGTATGCCCCTCCCCACTGATCCACAGATGTATGCCCCTCCCCACTGACCACAGATGTATGCCCCTCCCCACTGATCACAGATGGATGCCATTCCTCACTGACCACATGTGTATGCCCCTCCCCACTGACCACAGATGTATGCCCCTCCCCACTGACCACATATGTATGCCCCTCCCCACTGATCACAGATGGATGCCATTACTCACTGACCACAGATTTGTCCCCCTCCTCACTGACCACAGATTTGTGCCCCTGACCACAGACGTATGCCCATCCCTACTGATGACAGATGTATGCCCCTCCCCACTGATCACAGATGTATGCCCGTCCCCACTGACCACAGATTTGTGCCCCTGACCACAGATGTATACCCCTCCCCACTGACCACAGATTTGTGCCCCTGACCACAGATGTATGCCCATCCCTACTGATGACAGACATATGCCTCTCCCCAACTGAGCACAGATTTGTGCCCCTCCTCGCTCTCCATGAAGTCCCTGTGACTAATCACATATGGATATCCATCTCATTGTGAAATTACAAGGCATCATATTGTTTTTGTCCCACTGAGATGCCTACACCTTGTGTTATGGGAATTGATATTCCATCACATGACACCACATTACAGTTATACTCCTAGTGTTACTCTTTGGTTTGCATGTTATACCGGTTATGTCCTTGGAACTTAGAGTATGGACAAGAGATTTATTGAGGTCAGCTGCTCGCCTGTCTCTTGTTTGGTCTTTGATGTCATTATATTATTTTTCTCACTCAAAGGTAAAATACAGATTATATCCTAATATATTGTCTTGATTATAGCCACTTTGGTATAAAATTTAAATTTTACAATTTTATGCAAAACAAGTATTTTGTTGCATTTGAAGAATTATTTGGCAGAGGAAATTATGTGTTGAGAATCTTGACATTAAGTGTACCATTACTATTTTTCATCTTCCTGCTTTCTGCATCCGTTAGTCTCTATCAAATTCTCACCTCTCAAGCTTCTTGAACATTGCACAATACAGAGATGTACAGCATTTGTCATGTCTAAATAGTCTGCAGAGTTATTTTTTACAAGTAACTGACACATAACTAGATTCTGGGGGAAACGTAATAGTCCCTTGAAACTTTCACTAGTCTCCGACTATTGGCCAAGTGGTGGAGTCACTCAATGTAACAGCTCCAGTTTGAAGCATGGACCTTACCTGACCCAACAGATTCCAAATCAGTTATGTTTTCAACCACAGGCAGTTAGTATATTTTCTGCCTCCAACATACTCCCTCGGAAGTTGCTGGGCATGGGAAGCACAAAATAACATAGATCTGGGTCTCGACATCATCTTCAAACCTTTTATAATGTATTGCTCAGAACAACTGACAGCTGAAGTTCTTGCATCATGAACCAAAGATGTATGACTTCAGATTCTGTTGAAGATACTTCCTTTCATTGATTGCAATTTTCATAGATTTCCGCTGATTTTATTTCAAATTTATCAATTCATAGCCCCCCCCTGAACCCCCCAGTCGATGAAAGCACAATAACATTTTAGCTGAAATTTGATTTTCCTGTTGCCATCCCTGTTCCTTTGTGAAAACATCTTCCATGTTTCAGCATGGTCAGGATGAAAATGACATTGCAGACTTGAGTAGCGTGGAGGCTAGATGTCTTTACTGCATGCCGGCATCATAGTTGTAGTCGGTAGTATTTTAAGCTGCTTTAACATGTTTGAATATAAAGTTTTCTATGTATTATACCCATGTACAGTTTAGACCCCTTCAAGGGACCTCTCTATACTGGTTGTAACATCTAGGACCTGTGTGTGTGTGCTGGACATTGTTAACAACACTCAGGTTGAAAGTGAACAGACCTTTGTTTCAGGTTATGTATATTTTGTTGGAGCTGCTGTCAAGAAACACACAATGCCATACAGGTTGAGGAGGTTGAATCTGTTGGACCATATGTAATGTAACTGTACGATGACTGTTTCAGGTCCATATCGGCATCCACGGCTTTGTGAAGGACAGCAAAACTGGTGACGGAATCCAAGATGCCGTGGTGATGGTAGAGGACATCAAGCACAACATCACGTCGGTGGATGGCGGGGCCTACTGGAGACTGCTGAGTCCAGGCAACCATACTGTCACCGTACATGCTGACGGGTAAGGCTGTAACTGGGAAGATCAAGCACTTGTGTTTTCTGAGAGATAGTTTTGTACAATACATCATACCTTTTTATGTTTCCTACCCGTGAAGGTCCGGGTTAGAATATTGATCTTCAGTAAACCATGCTTGTGGTAAGAGGTAACTAAAGGAGCGGGTGGTCAGGCTCGCTGACTTGTTTGACACATGTCATCGGTTCCCAATTGCGCAGATCGATGCTCATGCTGTTGACCACTGGATTGTCTGGTCCAGACTCGATTATTTACAGACCGCCGCCATATAGTTGGTATATTGCTGAGTGCGGCGTAAAACTAAACTCACTCACTTACTCACTTTTATGTTTCCTAACATTTCCTGAGGTATTAGATGTTTGTCCTGTACTGTTAAGCAGCACAAATGAAACATACAACCTTATAGATGACAACTTCTTGTTTACTGCATGAAGCAACATTTGCTTAAAGCAATAAATGACAAGTTGTCATCCACAAAGTGATATGTTTCATTTTTGACTCACCGACTTCTAAAATACCGATCAAACAATTTGAAAAGCAACAAGCCATCAAACTTGATAATGAGTTATGTGTGTGTAGGTACGAGGCGCTGACACTCTCGGTGGAGGTACCTGAAGGTCCTGGTATAACACAGGACTTCCGGCTGAACAAGCCACAAGAAAGGTGGGTACCCATAGTAGCACCATCAGTACAACCAACCACCTCTCCCACCTTAACACATGTGATACCAGGGCCGACTGAAGAGTGTGTTTCCACTGTGTCCTCTAGTTGTGTTGACCTTGGTGACTCATTCCTATAACTGACGTGTCCCAGCTGGATCATTTCCAGGAATATGTTGCTGTCTGCACTGTCTCATCTCATTTGGAACTGGAGACTAGATTTGCTATATTGTATATATATATATGAATGTTTTTGGGCTAAACCTGAGCTCTTTTAATGTGCCATTAATTGTTGATGAGTACTCAAGAGCCCAACTGAAGTCTCCGATCTGAAAATCTTGGTCTTCTTGTTGTCCCACACTTTAGTCCAGTGGCAAGTTTGGTGATCGATCATTTCAGGTGGCAGGACCCACTCTCTGGAATCAACTTTTTCCACTGGAGTTAAGGACAGTTAACAACCTGGAGATTTTCAATCTAAACTGAAGATATACCTTTTTAAAAAAACATACAGTGTCTAACTTTTCACTCTCAAGTTGTTCGGAGAGCACTGCTCTATGTAAATCTTTTTATGATGATGATGATGATAATGAATGCAATGAACTTGATTAGTATAATGAAGGTAGTTGCCCAGTATAAACCTGATGAGACTGCTCACTTCAGCTTGACCCCCCCAAGTTCTCCACCCTCGCAACCAACAGAGGATCCCCTGGACAAGCTGAATGAGTTTGTGAGCCGCTTCCAGGTGGCCGAGCACCGGGAGAAGATGTCGTTCAGGGAGCCACAACAGTTTGTCCACCATCATTATGATAAACTCACAAATTTCCTCTATGACCTGGCTGAGAAATACCCAAACATCACTCACTTGTATTCTGTTGGAAAGACGGTCCAGAACAGGGACCTGTGGGTGATGGAAGTCAGCGACAACCCAGGCAGACATGAACCAGGTCAGTGGGGAAAAACAGGATGGAGCCACTTGGTCTCAACAATGAAGTGAAACACTGTTAAATTGTTTAGATGGATAACTTTGTATTTGGCACATGTGAAAACAGCCTGCCTTGATACCAGGAGAGACTAGTTGACTCGTCTCCCACTTTTTGCTTGAAATGATTGTATGTTACTTAATGCTATATTTCACAATGCAGTTGCTATTCCTTGACCTTTGCAATGATTGTCCACGGAACATGAATATTCTATATTCTAACTGGTCCAGATTTCAGTGACTAAATATAACATGGATACAATATCTGCTTTCTTAGACATGAAGAAAGAAAAGAATAAGATGTCCAAGTGTACTAAACTGATGCTTCACATCATTAGTTGTATCTTGCAAGGCCTATTTCTCTTTGTGTTGTTCAGGAGAACCTGAGTTCAAGTACATTGGTAACATGCATGGTAACGAAGTGGTTGGTCGGGAACTGCTGCTGCAGCTACTGGAACTACTGTGCAGTAACTATGGTAACAATGATTTCATCACATTGATGGTTGATCTGACCCGGATACACATCATGCCAACCATGAACCCCGACGGCTATGAGATAGCTGTTGAAGGTGAGCCAGTTGCAGCAGATGCTCAACACTTTCTGCCCTCATACTGGGGTTTACTGACATGTACGTTTTTTCTGCTGCCATTGTAGGTGTGTTAGTGCCTTTGTGTTGGGGTCTTACTGCTCTCATGTTGGTGTTTTACTGCTCTCATGTTGGTGTTTTACTGCTCTCATGTTGGTGTTTTACTGCTCTCATGTAAGGTCTAACTGCCATTACGTAGGTTTTTTTTGGTAACCTGTAGTTTTTCTGCCACAAGGTAGAATTTTCTTTGTTATCATGTGTGGTTGTCACGGTAAGCTGTACATTAACATTTGTCTGTGCCACAATCAGCTCCATGTTATCATGGAGGGAATCACTTTCAGCTCAATGTTATGTTGTATTGAAGTCACTGTCAACATCATGTTATCGTTCGCTTGTGTCACTGTCAGCTTTATGTCATCATGTATGTGAGACACTGTCAGCCCTAAAGTACCATGTGTCTACTCTCTTGTCATGTATGTGACTTACTGTCAGCTCTGTGTTACCGTGTGAGAGTCATTTTCAGCTCTCTGTCATTGTATAAGGGAATCTCTGCCAGCTGTTTGTTATTCTGTATTGGTTTCGCCATCAGTTGTATGACATCATGTACTTAGGTAAGATTTGCTGCTATATCCCACTGTAGACCAAACAGAGGAAGTGTAAGAAATGAGATCTGTGCTGACATTTGACAGTATGTACAGGTAATATGAGCTAGTCTGTGACTGTTTCCATGTACAGGTGATGTACAAGGAGTGCGAGGCCGACCCAACAGCCACAACATGGACCTGAACAGGAACTTTCCTGACCAGTACAAGACATTATATACCAATGCAGAGCAGGAGCCTGAGACAAAGGCTGTAATGAAGTGGGTCCAGTCCCTCCCATTTGTTCTGTCTGCCAACCTCCATGGTGGGTCCCTGGTGGCCAACTACCCCTATGATGACTTCGCTCCTAATGGTCACGCTGTGTACAGCCGATGTCCCGATGACCAGACCTTCCAACTGTTGTCTGAAGCCTACTCTTTTGTAAGTAGCTTGTGGGTTTTCAGGTCATCAGTTTTGGGAATTGAAAAATATCTTCACATTGACATTTTGTGTATTTTGCATGTATATATAAGTGAGGCCTAACAAACTAGGTCTACTTGCTGCACAGTTTGTTCCAATACTGCTGTTTGTCCCCAGGCTCACTCTCAGATGCACCTTGGACACCCATGCCCTGCCATCAGTAACGAGTACTTCAAGGACGGAATTGTCAATGGCTCTAAGTGGTACAGTGTTGCAGGTATGTGCAATGTATCTGTCACAGATTAGTAATCAGTATCACAGTAAACTTATTATGTGTCTGATCACAGAAACTTGTGTGTCTGACAGAGATCACAGAAACTTGTGTGTCTGACAGAGATCACAGAAACTTGTGTGTCTGAAAGAGATCACAGAAACATATGTATCTGACAGAGATCACAGAAACATGTGTCTGACAGATCACAGAAACATATGTGTCTGACAGAGATCACAGAAACATCTGTATCTGACAGAGATCACAGAAACATGTGTCTGACAGAGATCACAGAAACATGTGTCTGACAGAGATCACAGAAACGTATGTGTCTGACAGAGATCACAGAAACGTATGTGTCTGACAGAGATCACAGAAACGTATGTGTCTGACAGTGATCACAGAAACGTATGTGTCTGACAGATCACAGAAACGTATGTGTCTGACAGAGATCACAGAAACGTATGTGTCTGACAGAGATCACAGAAACGTATGTGTCTGACAGAGATCACAGAAACGTATGTGTCTGACAGAGATCACAGAAACGCATGTGTCCGGCAGAGATCACAGAAACGTATGTGTCTGACAGAGATCACAGAAACATATGTATCTGACAGATCACAGAAACGTATGTGTCTGACAAAGATCACAGTAACTTTTTGTGTGTCTGACAGAGATCACAGTAACTTCTGTGTCTGACAGAGATCACAGAAACGTATGTGTCTCACAGAGATCACAGAAACTTCTGTGTCTCACAGAGATCACAGATACGTTTGTGTCCGACAGAGATCACAGATTTGTATGTGTCCGACAGAGATCACAGAAACTTGTGTGTCTGGCAGAGATCACAGAAACATGTGTCTGACAGAGATCACAGAAACATGTGTCTGACAGAGATCACAAACATATGTGTCTGACAGAGATCACAGAAACTTGTGTGTCTGGCAGAGATTACAGAAACGTATGTGTCTGGCAGAGATCACAGAAACGTGTCTGACCGAGATCACAGAAACACATGTGTCTGACAGAGATCACAGAAACATATGTGTCTGATAGATCTCAGATATGTATGTGTCTGACAGAGATCACAGAAACTTGTGTGTCTGACACATGCTTTGTCTTCTTGTATCAAAGATGAGTATACTTGCTATCTGATGGAGATGCTTTGTCTTCTTGTTGTATCAAAGATGAGTATACTTGCTATCTTATGTAATGCTTTGTCTTCTTGTATCAAAGATGAGTATACTTGCTATCTGATGGACATGCTTTGTCTTCCTGTTGTATCAAAGATGAGTATACTTGCTATCTGATGGAGATGCTTTGTCTTCTTGTTGGATCAAAGATGAGTATACTTGCTATCTGATGGACATGCTTTGTCTTCCTGTTGTATCAAAGATGAGTATACTTGCTATCTGATGGAGATGCTTTGTCTTCTTGTTGTATCAAAGATGAGTATACTTGCTATCTGATGGAGATGCTTTGTCTTCTTGTTGTATCAAAGATGAGTATACTTGCTTTCTGATGGAGATGCTTTGTCTTCTTGTTGTATCAAAGATGAGTATACTTGCTATCTGATGGACTTGCTTTGTCTTCTTGTTGTATTAAAGATGAGTATACTTGCTATCTGATGGAGATGCTTTGTCTTCTTGTTGTATCAAAGATGAGTATACTTGCTATCTGATGGACATGCTTTGTCTTCTTGTTGTATTAAAGATTAGTATACTTGCTATCTGATGGAGATGCTTTGTTACAGGCGGGATGCAGGACTGGAACTACCTCCACACCAACTGTTTTGAGATCACCCTTGAGCTGGGATGTACAAAGTACCCCATGGAGTCTGAGCTGCCAAAGTACTGGGCCACCAACAAGTTCCCCCTGCTGGTCTACATGGGACAGGTAGCCTCACAGATCACGTAGGACAGATCAGAAAATACAGCTTTGTCAAGTGTGAACACCAAGAGCTAACCATGACTTAATGGTCACACTTGATCCTCCTGCTGCATCTTCCCTGCCAGCAGCCCAAGCATCATGTTTGAGTTGTTTAAATGTTACCAGAGATCCTGGCCTCTCTTTAGCCCTAGGCACATCTATCATTCTATGACAGAATCCCCAGGGACTGATTGTAGGAACAGATCTCAGAAAACTGGTTACATGGTCGTGTATACTGTGTAGGATTATCAACATTAGTTAAACTATGTCAACAGGGTTTTATGCAACACGTAAATGTGTATCCAGTACACACAAATATAGAGAATGGATGCAGAAAAAACATTCCAGAGGGACTCACAATATTATTCAACGTACCCACAACACATCTATGACTTTGTTCAATGTTTGACTGTTTCTTTCAGAGTTACATCGATCATTTCATCCCTCAGTCCACATGATCAATGATACATTCCAGGTTCTAAAGAAATTATCAAAATGTACAGTTCTCTACACCTCCACTTCACAGGACCATCATATTGTCATCAAGGACCCTTTAAACTAATAATGGAGAGTCACTGGGACCCTGATTTTTGGGTTAACCTAAGTCATGGAATTTATTCTATTGGCCCAGTAAATATATCTGAAAATCTGGTTGAGAATATTGTTGACCTTTTGCCTGTATCTGAACCTGACTGTTAATGGTGTGCAGGTTCACAAGGGTGTGAGAGGTTTTGTTCTGGAGGAAGACAGCCAGCATGGTGTGGCCAACGCTTCCATCCAGGTGAAGGGCATCAACCACACCATCATCTCGGCCCAGGCCGGCGACTACTGGAGACTCCTAGCCCCTGGGCAGTACATCATCACCGCCAGCAAACAGGGGTGAGTATATCCTGTATCCAACACCTATATAGACCTACCTGAGGGTTAGCCTAGTGGTTGAAGTGGTTGCTCATCATGCCAAAAACCTGGTTCGATTCCCCACATGGGTACAACATGTAAAGCCCATTATTTTTCCTTATCCTGACTCATGCTTATTTGCTTGTCTTCTTCTTCTTTGCGAACACAGTGGAACACTTGTATCTCCCAATTGAAGTTCCCTTCAATGTAAAATCACTAATTAGTACTCACCACGAGTTATCTTTCCCCTCGCAAGCGCGGGAACGAGGGCGCCACCTCCCACCATGTGCCTCACTCTCTCCTTCTTCGCCCAGTGAGCTGGACATGAGAGCGCCTGTGTCTCCCTACACACTATATCCTTTATATATATTTAGTTTGGTACCTCTTATATTCTTCTATAGAGGTGTAACTAGTATCCTTATTCAACATGCATTGATAATTATTCGTGTTTCTGCTGCTTTATTCACGGTTCACCGTGTTTGCTCAGCAGTTTGCGTTAATGAAAATCTGCACTGTTTGTAAATTACGTTACTCTGCTGCCGATCCGCATTTAATATGCCCTAGTTGCATAACTCCATGCTCTATTGTTTCACGCTGCAAATTATGTATTAATTTGTCTAATTCTGCCTTTGATAAATATTTATATTCCGTCTTGAGACGGGCGGCAGATAGATCTCGGAAACAATCTTCAGTCATGGCTAATAGATCAGAGTCAGATATTCCCTGTCAACCGTTGGCGGGGGCCCTCTACCGTCTGGTGTTCCGCCTGAGTTACCTTCGGGGGATAAGCGTGGGGACGAGTCCGCTATATCCAAGAAGTTTACCTGCATCCCAGGACGCTCCATCATCACAGTCTAAGACTAGAAGAGCTTCCACGCCGCCTCAACATACAGCTCCACCCCCAGGTCTACAGCTTCATTAAAAGGGAAATCCACTGAAGGCTACTAAAAACTTTGCTTCTGACATTCTACCTGTTTCAGAATTGTGTTTATATGATGATGACATTCCGATTATCATTCCAGATGTACGCCATAAGAAGCTTACCAGTATCAGCTACCGCCACTTCAGCGCAGATCAACACGCAACCAGAGATGCCTCTACGCTGACGCTTGAGATTATAACTGAGGGTCCCGTCACTATCACAGAGAGGACACCCTCAACGCCAGCGCAGACCGTCCCAGACGACCTGGTTAACCAAATCATGATGTTGATGGAAGACCGATACGGTTTACAGAGGCTCAGAGCCAAGGGCCCCAGAGCCCAACCCATAATAAGTCAAACAGGGCCCCAGAGCCCGCCTTTGACTTCTCACTGTGAGGGCCCTAGAGCCCACAAACGCTTCCACGAAGGGCAACCCAGCCCGTGAGCGAAGCCTTCGCTAAGAACATCCCAGGCCCTCCACGAAGGATCCAGAGCCTCACCAGTTGGCGGGGCTTCACAGAGGAGGAGTGCTTCACCGAGCTCACACCCTGTAGAACACAGAGGTCGCTCACTAAGCAGGCTCCCATATAATGATTCAGACTCTGACTCGATACCTTCCCCGGGCCTTCACGAAGGTTAAGTGGCTCCAAGTCATCTTCACCCACAAGATCTAGAAGGGATTCATCGAGAGCTTCACGAAGCCACCAGCTGCTCACGAGGAAGTCTCCTCCAAGGTCTCCCTATACTAGCCACTGGCCAGTCCGCTTCACCACAATCTTCGTCGATCTTCTTACAGATCTAGGACTCCACCTCACTCTATTATATGTGATCCTACGTCAGAAGAGGAAGAAGGTATCGTATTCTCAGATGCAGAAATTAGATACTGGATGGTGAATGGATTAGAACTTGCTTCCCCGTCTAAGAACGAGAACTCAGCTCATACTTATTTGATGAAGGAAGATGATGCGGACACTTATCACCTTACCTCCTATTGACCCGATAGCAGCGGTTCCAGCTAATCTGGATACAGCCTTTACCAAATCTATGAAATTTCAATCAACACATTTCCCGGTTTTCAACGCCAAGAAATTTGCAGGTCACAATATGGACTCCTTTTTCAAGGCCCAAGAGATTGATGACAACTTTAAGTTAATCAGTGATGCCAAGTCCAGAAATTACAGAATAGACGATCGCAAACTAGCCCAGTTGGATACCATTTCTAGGAGAATGTTTTTTGGATTGAATAGATCTAGAACTGTCAATGAAACTCTCATCACCAAGTTCAAAGATTCTACAGAGCAGGAAGATAGAATGATCTACTCGGCTCTACTCATGCAGAAAAGAGACCATCAGTTCCTTACAGATCACTTGTCAGCTCTTACTGAAGCTACTACCATGGCTCGTCGTCAGGGTCTACTAGCCTCCTGCAATTGGGATAATCAATTTACGGAATCACTCTACGCTGCCCCATGGTCATCGCCCTTACTATTTGGTGGTAACATAGACAAGGTCTCCAAAGAGGTGTCTAAGGACTCTAGAGAGGTGCTTATGATCAAGTCCATGGATACGTAAGCGAACGTCATTAAGCAATCATCCTTGAGATACTCTGGCAAGTCTAAAATTTCTGGACTACAGAAAGCACGGGACAAGAAATTGGCTACAGCAAAGGTCCCAGGGAATCTTTTAAATAAGCCCATACAGCAGTTTCAGAGGAGGATCAGCAAGAGGCAGATCATCCAGAGGTTCCCGCGGATTGAGACGATGAAATTCAGGTTCGGAACGACTGGAGTCTTCCACCCACAGCCGTTCCAGTACAACCTTCTCAAGTGGGTGGACGCCTTCAGCTGCACTGGGAAAACTGGGGACTACTACAAGATCCTTATGTATCCAACATCCTACAGCACGGATATCAAATACAACTCAAGGCCACACCTCCGTTAACAGTCATCCTTCCAAGGTTCGACTTTCAACCGGCACAACTACCTATGTTAAGAGAAACAGTAGCTACTCTGCTAAGCAAACAGGCCTTAGAAGTTCTGGATCAGCTTAAACATCGTACCAGGTTTCTCCTCCCCCAGTTTTCCTAGTGCCCAAGAAAAATTCCAAGGAAAAGTTTCGCCTCATATACAACATGAGCATCTTCAACAAAGACTATCTAAAGCAAACCGCCAGCGCTTTGCATGATACACTTACCTCAACTTCGCACTTAATTCGTCCCAAAGATTACATGGCCAGCATAGATTTGCAAGATGCATATCTACACATTCCGATTCATCCCAATTCAAGGAAATATCTAAGATTTATCCTAGACGGAAACACTACCAATGGAAAGTACTTCCTTCGAATCACATCGCCCCTTTGGGTATTCACAAGAGTGACGAAGCCTATTGTCGATACCTACATCGTCAAGGTCTTCCGAGCGCATTTTACCTAGACGACGGGATACAAGTGGATCCAGATCCACAGCATCTCAGACTACAGCTGAACTTTATAATCAAGTTACTAACACAACTAGGATGGTTAGTAAATCTACTCAAGTCGGACCTAGAACCAACGCAAGATCTGCATTTTCTAGGTATACGATTTCTAACAGCCCAGAATCGTATAGTAGTCCCGTAGGACAGATGGATCAAGATCCAACAGTTAATCCCACAAGCCTTACTCTCTCCGCTACCACTACGACAGTGGCAGATCCTATTGGGACTACTCACATCAGCCCAAGATTTGACAGTCAGAGGCAGGCTTCAATTACGTCCGTTACAAGTCCTCATCAATGCGCATCTCGAGGACCCTCTACCGTTCAGTCTACCAGATCACGTCAAACCTCATCTACTCTGGTGGACCAAGAGATTGAATGTTTGCGTAGGCGTCTCCTTATTAGAGCCGGAATCGGAAACACATCTCTACGTAGACGCGTCACTACAAGGTTGGGGAGCCCACCTCGCCTACAAGACAGCGTCAGGCCTATGGAGCAATCAAGAGAGCAAATGTCACATAAATCTGCTAGAGATGCAAGCAGTCATAAACGCCATAAGTCACTGGAGCAACCTACTACAGAACGCTCAGTTGATGATTCACACAGACAATTCGACAGTGGCGTTTTATGTGAACAAACAAGGCTCAACAAGGTCACCGAACCTACTGTCCCTATGTTTCCGATTATTCGATCTAATCGACAATCTAAACATACATGTCAGGGCTTGCCACATTCCAGGAGCAAAGAATGTATTAGCAGACGCTCTCTCTCGGCCACACCTACCGTCGCCGACAGAATGGATGCTCCACACAGAGATATTCACTCAAATAATCATGGAAATAGGATCTCCACTAGTAGACCTATTCGCCACTCGATTCAACAAACAACTGACAACCTTCGTATCGCCAGTTCCAGACCCACTAGCATGGGCAACGGACGCACTAAGCATATCGTGGGAGGGACGCAACGCGTACGCTTTCCCGCCACCAGCGCTAATCCCACAAGTCTTACGGAAAATCAGTCAAACGCAGAGCTTCCATCTGATTTTGGTCGCGCCCTACTGGCCAGCAAGAACGTGGTTTCCAAATCTTATTCAAGAAATCAGACAACCAATTCTACAACTTCCAGAACGCTCAAATCCATTGATACATCCGCACACCAAACAAGTGCACGGAAAACCAGAAGTATTCCAACTTCACGTATGGATTGTATCAAGGCATGTCTGAATAAGAGAGGTTATTCAGCCAGAGCGGCAAAAGCAGTGAATAAGAGAGGTTATTCAGCCAGAGCGGCAAAAGCAGTCACGCTTGCACTGCGTAACTCAACTCGCAACTTATACGATGACAAATGGCACAGTTTTGTCAATTATGCTGCAAAGAAAGGATTTACAGCCAGATATGCTACTCATCCTCAAGTGGCGGACTACTTATGTTATCTACGACAAACTAAGAATCTAAAAGGCTCAACTTTGTCCACTTATCTTGCAGCATTAAGCTCTGTCATAACTATGAGAACGGGCGTCAAGTTAACAAAGACCCCAGAGTTACTCGCTTTGCTACGAGCATTCCGATTGGAGGATCACAAGCGGAAGTTTCACGCTCCAGCTTGGGATCTAAATATAGTACTCCAACACCTCACAAGTGAGGCTTATGAACCGTTAGAATCTACATCGTTTGAATCACTGACCCAGAAAACTTTGTTCCTGTTAGCGCTAGCTACGGCTGCCAGGATGTCAGAGATTCACGCTTTGGATTACGAGAGAATACGCTTTGATGATATTCATAACATCGTACATCTGGGACTACGCTGGGATTTTATAGCTAAGAACCAATTGCCAGGTCAACCAGACTGATTATTCCACGTCCCAGCTCTCTCATCCATTCTTGGACCTCATGATACGATGGATCTATCACTATGCCCAGTAAGAGCACTGAAAATATATCTCCACCGATCCAAACAGAGGAGAGGAAAATTCAAGAGATTATTTATCCCTCTATCTACAGCTACGCCAGACGGAAGTCTCACGTACTACTATCTCAATTTGGATCAGAACTGTCATACTACGTGCCTACAAGGCTGCAGGACTCGACCCTCCAAGAGCATCTAATCCTCATGAAATTAGAGCGCTAGCATCAACACTTGCTCTACACGGCAACTGCTCTTTGAATACCATAATGGAGGGTTGTTTCTGGAGATCCGATATGGTGTTTGCCAACCACTATCTGAGAGATATTACCACCAAGGACGTCTCAGGTATCCACCATTTCGGGTCCCATGGTCCTCGCTCAACAGTTGACAGTTCCTCGGAGAAGATAAGTCAATCTTACAGATTTATACTTATCTGATATCAGTATTAAATAGCTACATGCTATATATATATTTTGTTTAAGTTCAATCTATTATCTTAAGCTCAGTACTATGGTTATTATATCATACAATATATTAGCTAACAACTCAAGAAGTTTTGCTATTATATTTAGCTTAAGTTTCATCATATCTTAAGCTCAGTAATATGGTCACATTTTATATATATATTAGCTAACAAACGCTACGGAGTTTTTGCTATTATATAGCTTAAGTTAAATTATATCTTAAGCACAGTACTATACTCATATAGCTTAAGTTTATGCATATCTTAAGCTTAGTACTTTGGTTACTTCATAAAGTATATTAACTATAAACTCAAGGAGTTTATGCTATCACATTAACAACTTAAGTCTACTAGTCTTAAGCTTTGTACTAATGTTGTATATACTTTATCATAATAAGTATATTGTAATAGTTATATTGTAATAACCCATATATGGCAGCTGATAAGTTAGCAGCAGGAATTCATCAGTTCAGTGCCTTTATGAAGTTCCCATAGGGTTATTACAGTCATTACAATTCAAATCACTAATTATCCAAATCCAAAGTATTATATATTCCCACCTCCATAGCCGTCGGATTCTACAAGCAAATAAGCATGAGTCAGGATAAGGAAAAATATGTAATTTTCTGAGTAAAATTGATATTTTATACTTATCCTGACTCATGAGGTAAGCCCTCCCGTCCTCCCCACATAACACTTTGGATTTCCCTGTAAATTCAAGTGTTGGGCTCGCTACAAAAGGAGAGAGTGAGGCACATGGTGGGAGGTGGCGCCCTCGTTCCCGCGCTTGCGAGGGGAAAGATAACTCGTGGTGAGTACTAATTAGTGATTTTACATTGAAGGGGAACTTCAATTGGGAGATACAAGTGTTCCACTGTGTTCGCAAAGAAGAAGAAGACAAGCAAATAAGCATGAGTCAGGATAAGGAAAAATATCAATTTTACTCAGAAAATTACATTCTTGTGTCCCCCCACTGTGATATTGCTAGAATATTGCTAAAAGCGGTGTGAAACTAAACTCACACACTCACTCACTCACTCACCCTACTCAGGACACATACATCACAGCCGACAAAGAAGTGTGACTATATATCCTACATGTTAGCAGCCGACTCCCTGAGATGCAGCACTGATGTGTGTTGATGACTGTTTCAGCTACCACCCCCAGTCAGTCACAGTTCGGGTGACAGATGGCACTGCTGTAGTTGTTAATTTCACGCTGAAGCTCGCAGACGGGCAGCGTTGGTCACAGTCTTTTGACTTTGACATCGCTGAGAACTTAGAGGGTATGTCCTACCTGACAACACATGGTATCCAGGATGAGGTGAACCAGCTGGCCCGACTGAACCCAGCGTTTGTGACTGCCGACACGCTGCACATGAACCGCAAGGGGAAGTCCGTGACGGCCCTTCACATGTCTTCAGACATGGACCAGCATGAAGAGAACAAAGCCCATGTACTGTTGCTAGGCGGACTGAATGGAGACGACCCTGTCAGCACGGAGCTGCTCATGAGGCTTGCCAGACATCTGATTAAAGGTAGGACCACATGTGGCAGGTTGGCTGACTCTAGTTTAAGGTTTAGAAAATGATTAACCCGTTTATTTCCAAATGAAGAATTGGTCTTCTCTGCTAATATTCACTGATTACTGACTGCCTGTCTGTGTGACACTGTTTCCCTCGCTGTGCCAGGCTACAACCAGAAACACCCCCACTGTGTGAAGCTGATAGAACACAGTCACATCCATATCATCCCACACGTCAACATTGAAGGTGCCAGCAAGGCTGTTCCTGGTGACTGTGGAGGTGAACACTACTCGGGACAACGATTTGCTGATCTTGTCAAAAACAATGTAAGTATGGAGCAGTGGTATGTGGATAGATAGCATTAGGGAGTGTAATAGGTGATCAAGTTTAATTATGTTTCCGTATCCTGGCTCATAGTGATTGCTTCTCTCTCCGTTAACCTGAGATATATTGGAAACTTTCTGTAGTATGTTCATCAACAACAGCCAAAACATCTCAGCCGAACACATCCCTCCACTGTGCATGCACCCTGGACACATGTGACCAATATGGTTAGTTAACAGATATAGTTCCTTTGCCCCACCTCATTGTGCCTCCTTCCGTTTCAGGACACAGTCGTTGCTGCCCTGAAGAGTCAGTTTGACGTGCACCAGTTTGAGTTTGTGCTGGCCCTGGAGGGAGGAGGGATGTACATGGTGTAAGTGTTGGTCCTACTCACAGCTGGCTGGCTACACTTTAGGCATGTTGGCGACATCTGCAGCTTGTCAGACATACCCACAGCTAGCTGGCTACACCTGCAGCTTGTCTGACATACACACAGCTAGCTGGATACACCTGCAGCTTGTCTTACATACTCACAGCTGGCTGGCTACACTTTAGGCATGTTGGCGACATCTGCAGCTTGTCAGACATACCCACAGCTAGCTGGCTACACCTGCAGCTTGTCTGACATACACACAGCTAGCTGGCTACACCTGCAGCTTGTCTGACATACACACAGCTAGCTGGCTACACCTGCAGCTTGTCTGACATACACACAGCTAGCTGGATACACCTGCAGCTTGTCTGACATACTCACAGCTGGCTGGCTACACTTTAGGCATGTTAACCCGGCTCACAGCTTGTTAGCCATACCCACAGATTGCTTGCAAAACCTCGCAACTTGAGCTTGTCATAAACACCCCACAGTCTGCTAGTGGGAAATACCCAGAGTTTGTTGAGTCCACCAACAGGTAGCTGACCTGATCCACACCTTGCTGGACACACAGACAGATTACAGCTTGTGAAACAATCAGGTCAAACACCTGACTCTCGTTCCCCAGGCTCCCAGTCCATGAAACAGTCATAGCACTAAGTTGATACTAAATCCCACACTTCAAGATAGACTTATGCCTGTCGTAGCGCTACGATTGCTTTGTGGAATGGGGCCTAGTTCTTTTACTTACTGTAAGAGACAGCCCAAATGGTTGGTTGTGCTTAGTACCATCACACCGTCATACCCAGTGAGACAGAATTGGTATCTGGTTGGTTGAAAAAGGCAATTTAACTGACTGACTGATGGTGTAAGTGATTAGCTTGTTTCAAAGCTCCATGCTTGGGTTGATAGTGTGACAGTGTTCCCCAAAGCTGGATAGCTGCTGATGATATCAATCACCGGATTGTCTGGTCCAGATTCTAACATTTACAGGCAACTGTCATGTAGCCTGAGTAACTAGTATATTGGTCTTCAGTGACTTTACCCTATGGCTATTCAGTCACCACCCACTTCCTCTTTCAGCATCCCGCGCAGCTCTGAGGTGATGGGTGAGTCAGGGATATACACAGCCTTGACAGAGGACGACCCAGTGCTGCAGATGCTAGCCCACACCTACGCCGCAGCCAACACCGCCATGTACGAGTCGGGAACCTGTGGGGGGGCGGTCCTGGAGGGGGTGAAGCATGGAGCTGACATCAACCCTGATGGCAAGGCAGCACCCCTGATGGACTGGGCTTATGATCAACACCACACTTTCATGGTCAGTAGAGGAATGTCTGCAGGCGCTTGGTACTGGGGAAGGGTTCATTTCTTTATATGGGAACTGAAACTTATGTCCTCATGTAATGAGTATATCTGTGGGGTGCATCTGGAAAATTAAGCATTGTTTATGCTATTGCTCCAATATCCCTGTGGTAAACTGTTATGTGTAAGATATGACGTTTTCATGTAGATAATCAAATGATAAATGATTCCTTTACGTCTCTGCAGTAAACATGGTTAATTAGAATCCCAAATGTGAAACAGCCATTATATCTTAGCATTAAGACAGTAGATTTAACTGTACATGCTTCGGTGTGATTTTGGTTTGTTAACTGCCAAATTACTGCCTTAACCAACAGGAATAGATACATGTTTGGATGTAGAACTTTGAAGGTGAGATAATGCAGGCAGTACCAGAGTGAGTATCTGTTCCAGTTGTACGCCTACATCAGCTGTTGTAAATACCCCCCCTCCAGACATGCTGCCCAGTCTATGGATGTCCAACCTCAACCCACTGATGAACACTCTTCTTAAAACACTGCAGGGTAGGTCTGAGTAACGCTTCAAATGTAGTTAAAATATGCTATCTGAAAGGAGAATTGGTTTGTTAATGTATAAGTAGTTTCAAGTACATGTTCTTGCGTTGACAAGTTTATCAGCCATGAGATATTTATGATGGTATATTTATTGCAGTGTTAAATTTGTCTCCCTTTGTCAGTGACCTACAGGTCTGGGTAATAAAATATGTAACAGCAGGTTTGATCCAGTTTGATGTCATATTTTTTGTACTGGCTTACTTTCACGTACATCCTGTTGGGACAGCATGTGGAAGCCAAGGCATGAATGGCCCCTGAGTCAGCTGGGTGTTATGGACGGAAATGATTCGGACTTAGTGTCAAAAGGGAGGGGCGGACTTCATTTCTGGAGCACAACTCAAAACCCGTTCAATATATTTTAACAAAACCTGCCACATACGTCAAACAGATGCTGAAGTAGTTGCCTTGTGCTATTTAGGACTTTTAAGAAAAAGAATTTGTTTCCCCGTTTCCATGGCAACATGTTTGACTTTGACTCTGATCATAGTCGTGTGTTTGTCCAGATCATGTCTCTAGAACTAATAGGTATTATTTTTCCTTATCCTGACTCATGCTAATTATACTCATGCTAATAATGCTTGTCTCCTTCCTCTTACGAATGATAGTGGAACACTTGAAATCCCTTGAAGTTCCCTTTGAAAAAGCGGACGTAAAATCACTCACCCAAGAGTAGCGTCCCTTTCCTCCCTTTGGTGCCCAAATGGCCACATGATCGGCCATATTTGTCACTCTCTTCTTCTTCGCCCTTGAGGACGGTTGTGAGAGCACCTGGGACCCTATACGGTACATATCCTTTTATATTTTCGGACCTTACATCAAAATTATTGTTGTATACGTTTTTTAGGATTATATTCTACATTACGGTTTGAAATTTGTTCTAAATTTTCCATTGTTTGACATGTGTTTTCTTCATGTTTATAATTGATGAAAACTTGTATTCGTTGTAGGTACCGAGTGTCTGCAGCTGACCCTCATTTATTATGTCCTAACAGCGGTTTCATGTTCTTTCGGCTCTCGCTGTAAGTATTGTGTAAAATTAAATTCGGTTGAATTAAATAATTACCTTTTTTCCATCCCTAGATGTGCTAAGGACTGGATACGTAGGTATTCACAAGTCATGTCTAAATCGAGTGATTGCGCTGATAACCGTGTGTTAACCACTGCTGCAGATATTCATAATTCTATTGAATTGCTGAACGTTTCTCAGGAGCAGGTCGATGTACCAGGGGTGAATGCCGGAGGCCATAAGAGATCATCGTCTACTGAGCTGACCTCATCGCAGATGAAGAAGACGAAATCTTCATCTTCGCAGAAAAAGAAGGCTACTACCATGAAGACTTCAGCGAAGTCTAAGATCAGCTCTACACAGAAGACAAGGTCTTTCTCAGCCTAGATTGTTCCTCCGGAAGAAGCAGATGTTTATGATGATCCACCCATCCTCTTACCTGAAGTCACCATCGTCAGTAAGAAGACGAAGCCTGCTTCTACAGCTACATCGACATTGGTATCAGCCCAGACATTCACAGAAGACCTACTATCAACGCAGACATCGGGTACCAGAGATAGCAGCAGCATCAACTCTTCATGACTCATTAACTCCTGGATCGCCAATGGCTAGGACTTATCATCACCTTCTAAGGACACAGATGAGGCGTTTACCTACAAGATGTCCAAAGATGATTTCGACACACTCACCTTTCCACCGACCAACCCGATCTCTCAAGTACCAGACAACCTCAATGCAGCTTTTGATAAAGCCACCAAGTCGCAGAGTCAGCACATCCTGACATTCAATGCCAGGAAATTCCCTCTACATAGGATGGAACCCTTCCTGAAGGCTCCAGAGGTTGATGATGACTATAAGATTATCACCGATTCCCGTCAAAGAACTTACAAGATTGAGGAAAAGAAGTTAGCGCAGCTGGATACAACCACCAGACGTACTTTCTTCGGATTGGCCAGATCGAGGGCTATCAACGAAACACTCATCTCGAAGTTCAAGAATTCCTCGGCCAAAGAAGACCGGATGATATACTCTACTCTACTTATGCAGAAGAGAGACCATCAATTTATGCCGGAGCACCTAGCATCCACCTCAGCGGGCTTGACTCTCCTGAGAAGACAAGGGTTATATTCAGCATGCACTTGGAGTGAACGCTTCACCAAGTCTCTATACAGAGCCCCAGGGTCATCATCTTACATCTTCGGAGGAGGAATTGAAGAAGTCGCCAGAGAAGTCTCTCACAACTCTAGGGAAGTTATGATGACTAAATCCATCGACACTTTGGCTAACGTGATTCGCCAACAAATCTAAGTTTGCAGGAGTCCAGAGAGCCAGAGAAAAGAAGTATTCCAGTATGAAAGGAGGAAGAGGCTCCTTTCGTCGTTCAACCAGAGGTCCTAGAGGTAACCCCGGAAGTGGCCGAGCACCCAGCGGTGCAAGAGGAAGCAAGCATTGAAGGCCAGGTTCGGAACGACTGGAGTCTTCCACCCCCAGCCGTTCCTGTACAACCTTGGACAGTGGGTTGACGTCTTCATCAGTACTGGGAGAATTGGGGGATACTACAGGACGACTACATATCCCAGATACTGCGCAAAGGGTACAAGATACAGTTGGAAGCCACCCCGCCGCTCACAAACAACCCGATGGCCTTCAACTACGCAGCCGACCAGATAGGAAAACTGGACGAGGCTATCAAGACCCTACTCGACAAAGAGGCAGTAGAAGAGATAGATCAAGATCTCATCACGTCCGGGTTCTACTCCCCAATTTTCCTGGTACCGAAGAAGAATTCCAAGGAGAAATTTCGGCTCATCTACAACATGAGGAAGTTCAACCTGGAGTATCTACGCAGACCAGCAAAATTCAAGATGTCACATCTTCCTCAGCTCGTTAGTCGTTCTCGTTCGTCCACTACCTCGCCAGCATAGATCTGCAAGATGCGTACCTTCACATCCCGATACATCCAGACTCAAGGAAATACCTACATTTCCTTTTCAACGGACAGCACTTCCATTGGAAGGTTCTACCGTTTGGAATATCGTCGGCCCCCTGGTTGTTTACTCGAGTGACCAAGCCCATCGTCACATATCTACATCGTCGAGGTCTACGCAGTGCTTTCTACCTGGACAACAGGATTCAAGCTCATCAAGATCCCAGTCAACTCAGACTGCAACTAGATTTCACCATCAGGCTGCTCACTCAACTAGGATGGCTAGTGAATCTCCTCAAGTCGGAACTGGAGCCGAAACAAGATCTGCAATTCCTAGGAATTTGACTCATCACACCAGTGAATCGTATAGTCGTTCCAGAGGATCGTTGGGTCAAAATACAACAGATGATATCTCACCTCAGCTCAAGACATGACTCGCAGAGGGAGCTTACAGTTGCGCCCACTACAAGTATTTGTGAACGCCCACCTAGACAGCCTAGATCCGTTAATACTACCGGACAGCTTGAAACCATATCTCCTATGGTGGACTCGGAAGTCGAACGTTTGCGGAGGGACCTTTTTGTCAGAGCCGGTTTGCAACACTCATCTCTACGTGGATGCCTCCCTACAAGGATGGGGTGGACACTTCAACAACGAAGTGGCAGCAGGGAAGTGGTCGAGTCAGGATCAGAAATCACACATCAATCTGTTGGAGATGAAAGCAGTAGTTAACGCTTTACAACATTGGTCCAGCATCCTAAAGAACGCACAACTCATGGTACACACAGACAACTCCACAGTGGCGTTTTACATCAACAAACAAGGGTCAACAAGATAAACAAGTCTTCTACAACTCAGCTTTCTCCTGTTCAGCATAGTCGACGACCTGAACATCTACATGAAGGCATGCCACATTCCGGGAGCAAAGAATGTCATAGCAGACGCCCTATCTCGTCCACTACAACCATCCCCGACGGAATGGATGTTGCATCCAGAAGCATTCCAGTTCATCAGACAGACTTTAGGATCCCCACTAATAGACCTGTTTGCAACAAAGTTCAACAAACAGCTACCAACGTTCGTCTCACTGATTCCAGATCCTCAGGCATGGGCAACAGATGCTGTAAGCATCTCATGGGAAGGACTAAATGCTTACGCGTTTCCGCCTCCTGCACTACTACCACAAGTACTACAGAAAATCAAGCAGACGACTACGTTGCAACTGATTTTGGTCGCGCCCTACTGGCCAGTGAGGGTATGGTTTCCCATCCTCATACAAGAACTCGGAAGTCCAACCCTGAAACTACCAGAGTGGTCGAACCTACTCGTCCATCCACACACCAAGCAAGCTCACGGGAACCCGACACTGTTCCAGCTACACACGTGGAGTGTATTAAAGCTTGCCTGAAGTCTAGAGGGTACTCCGCCAGAGCAGCGAAAGCAGTAACACTATTTCTACGCAGATCAACTCGCAACTTGTACGACGACAAGTGGCAGAGATTTGAACAATATTCAAAGAGGAAAGGCTTTACAGCGGTGAAAGCAACACATCCTCAAGTGGCGGAATACTTATGTCATCTACGACAGACGAGACACTTAAAAGGTTCAACACTCTCAACGTACTTAGCTGCCCTCAGTACAGTTATCACCATGAAAACAGGTATCAAGCTGACCAAAGTACCAGAGCTTCTGGCACTACTACGCTCGTAGTAGGCCTATAAAGCAGCAGGACTTGAGCCTCCACGAGCCTCCAATCCACACGAAGTCAGAGCCCTGGCATCAACACTTGCTCTGCATGGAAACTGCTCGATTACAACTATAATGGAGGGTTGCTTTTGGAGATCGAACACGGTGTTTGCCAACCACTACCTCAGAGACGTTGCCACTGAAGACGTCTCAGGCATTCACCAGTTTGGGCCACTTGTTGTAGCACAACAACTAACGGTTCCACAAAGGCGCTGAGAAAATCTCACCCTTTTTATCACGTGACTTGTGAAAACTAACGCTCTGGAGAGCAAATGGTTAAAGTCCATGCACACGTCTAGGACAGACTAGCATGAGTGATAGACCCTGTACTTGTATAGGACATGCTTATACATGAAGAAGGGTCGTATCTCCACTTGATGAGTGCATCAAGAGATGGAGTTACAATAGATAACTAATGGAATATTAGTATATCTAAAATCCACACGAAAACGTCAGGAGAAGTTTCGGAAGAAATTTGACAAGTTGTGGTCCCCCCCAGACTCATCAGAGAGAAGTTGAAAGAATCTTCAACAGTGCCGTCATAAGTTCCCAAGGGGGGTAATACAGGACGTAAATCTACAACCAGGGAATCCAGAATGTGGCTTGACCCACCACCGTTTCCGACGGATTCTTCAAGCATAATTAGCATGAGTCAGGATAAGGAAAAATATGTAATTTTCTGACTAGAATTCATATTTTATACTTATCCTGACTCATGAGGTTAGCCCTCCCAACCTCCCCTCTTATGGCACTCTGGATTTCCCTGTAAACCCGGGTGTCGGGCTTACATACGGAGAGAGTGACAAATATGGCCGATCGTGTGACCATTTGGACACCAAAGGGAGGAAAGGGACGCTACTCTTGGGTGAGTGAATTTACGTCTGCTTTTTTAAAGGGAACTTCAAGGGATTTCAAGTGTTCCACTATCATTCGCAAGAGGAAGGAGACAAGCATAATTAGCATGAGTATAATTAGCATGAGTCAGGATAAGTATAAGTAGTTATAATGGGGGTTCTATTACAGGGTACCTTATAGGCTTATTTCTACGTAATTCTGCTCCCAGCGCCTAGTATGAAATAGAGACATCGTTCGATGTACAGCCAAGCTAGCCAGTTTAGACTCATTTTCGCTAGGGCTACCCATTTTTTCAGCAACTACTGACTAGACCTCGACATGGAGTGGAGTTTCTACCGTTTGGTATCCATGGGCGACAGCGAGGTCTTGTTGAGAGTGATGCCATAGATGTTGTGTTTGAAAAGAAACATTTCTGCGAACGGTGCCTGCATGGGTATTCTGATTTATTAGAATCACACCGGGAGGATTGCCCAGGCGTGGGCGAGATGGCGATCAGAATCGATATGCTTCAAGAAAATAAAAACATCTTAAAATTCATCAACCACAAACATCAAATGCCCGTGCCCTACGTCATCTACCCTGACTTCAAAGCTCTCATCTAACAGGTGAACACCGTCGCGCCATCCCCTCAAAAAAGTTTCACGTACAAAACGCAAGAACACCAAGCCTGCGGGTTTGGGTACGTGGTCGTCCGATGCGATGGAAAAATGGAACCACCGATGATTTACCAAGGTCCTGGCGTGGCTGAAACATTTCTCACGTTCTTACAACGCGAAGAGAGAAACATCAGGGAAGCTTTGTCGGATCCTGCCTCCATGGATATGACGCCAGAGGATGAGTTCGCTCATCTACGAACTAGATATTGTCACGTATGTCGAGGACCCCTGAACGGTGATTCAGTGAGAGATCATTGTCACATCACCGGTCGATACCTAGGCGCCGCTCACAACGTGTGCAACTTAAAACTTAGAATCAATCCCAAAAATACATCTCGTTCCTGCTCAACGGTCTGAGATTTATCGATAGCGCTCAGGTCCTCCTGTCGTCGCTCGACAGTTTGGTCAAGGCCAACGATACCTTCACCATCACCCATCGATACACCAATGAGACAACTCGACCTCTGCTGCTCAAAAAGGGTGTGTACCCGTACGAGTACATGGACGATTGGTCTAAGTTCGACGAGACGCAATTACCTCCCCTCGACCGATTTTACAGCAACTTAACCCAATCCAGTATCTCCCAGGACGATTACGACCACGCCCAGAACGTGTGGGAGAAACTGGGTTGCAAGAATCTGGGCGACTACCACGACCTGTACTTGAAAACGGACATGCTGCTGCTGGCCGACGTGTTTGAGACGTTCAGAACGACGTGTTTGAAACAGTATCAACTTGACCCCGCGTGGTACTACACCAGCCCCGGTCTCTCGTGGGATGCGCTGCTGAAGAAAACGGGCGTCAAACTGGAATTGTTCACCGATTACGACATGCACCTGACTGTCGAGAAAGGCATGCGCGGCAGGATTTCCATGGTCTTCAAACGGTACGCGAAAGCGAACAACCCGTACGTGAAAAACTACGATTCGAACAAGCCCACCAACCATCTCCTCTATCTCGACGCCAACAACCTGTACAGCTGGGCTATGAGTCAGTATTTGCCTACGGGCGGGTTCAAGTGGGTTAATAGCAAGCATTTAAATACGAAGAACATTATGGCCATCCCCGACAACTTCGAGATAGGCTACCTGCTCGAAGTGGATTTGGAGTACCCCAAAGCATTGCACGAATTGCACAACAGTTATCCGCTGGCACCCGACCGATTGACGGTGAATCGAGACTGGATGTCCGACTATCAGCGAGACTTGTGGGGAGAAAACACCATGGCTAACGAGGAAAAACTCGTCCCGAACTTGATGAACAAAACCAAGTACGTCGTGCACTATTGCAACCTGCAGCTGTACCTGTCGCTGGGTATGAAGCTGACCAAAATACACCGAGTGCTCAAATTTGATCAAAAACCCTGGATGGAACCGTACATTCAGTTGAACACCGAATTGAGAAAACAAGCCACAACGACTTCGAGAAAAACCTCTACAAACTCATGAACAATTCGGTATTCAGTAAAACCATGGAAAACTTGAGGAAACGCGTCAACGTGAAACTAGTGCGATCGCACCAGGAGGAAAAACTCAGCCAGTCCGGCATTCAACCGAAGCAAGCTATTCGATAACGACTTGGCAGCGCTCCACATGAACAAAAGCCACATCAAGCTCAACCAGCCCGTCTACGTGGGGATGAGCATCCTCGACATGTCCAAACATCTCATGTACGATTTCTACTACAACCAACTCAAACAACAGTACGGCGATTGATGCGAGCTGCTGTACAGGGACATCGATTCCTTGTTGAATATACGTACTGAAGACGTGTACGAGGACATGGCGAAACACAGCCACTTGTACGATACCAGCTATACCCCCAAGACCACACCCTACACAGCACGACCAATAAAAAGGTCCTCGGCAAGATGAAGGACGAATGCGCGGACACACCCATCGCCGAATACGTCGGATTGAGACCCAAGATGTATTCCATCCTGAAAGCCGACAACGGTGAGAGCCGAAAGGCGAAAGGGGTCAAGATATATGTGGTGAAACAACACATCAAACACGCCCTCTTCAAACAAGCTCTGTTCAAGAATTAAACATTCAAACACCGAATGAATGCGTTGAGAAGCGACAAACACAACATCTATGGCATCACTCTGAACAAGACCTCCTTGTCGCCCATGGATACCAAACGGTGGATCGCCATCGAAGGCGTCACGACTAACGCATACGGACACACGCGCATAAACCACTGATTAGACCTCGACGCATTGGGAGTTTCCGAGACCCCCAATCAAGGAAACTCCACTCGGCATGTCAAGGTCTAGTCAGTAGTTGCTGAAAAAATGGGTAGCCCTAGCGAAACTGAGATGAGGGTCTAGGCTGGCGAGCTCGGCTGTACATCGAACGATGTCTCTGCTCGAAAATCACTATTTTATACTAGGCGCTGGGAGCACAATTACGTAGAAATAAGCCTATAAAGTACCCTGTACTAGAGCCCCCATTATATAACTACTGTATAAAATATCAATTTTAGTCAGAAAATTACATCCTTCATGAAACTGTGCACACAAAGACCAGAGCTCCGTTACACAAAGCTCTCGTAAGCCTAAGATCTCGTAACTTTCCTCGTAGCATTCCTACCTCCTATACTGTAATATTGACTTACGATAGTCGTAGCACTACGAGAGCTTTGTGAAACGGGGCCCAGGTTGTCAAATGGTACCTTGTGATTCTTGGGTTGTTAAGAATTTATGTTTTGTCTGTTTCAATGGCAGCAAGTTTAACTTTGACTCTGTTCATTGTGGTGTGTTTGTCAGGACCACATCTCGAAAGAGAACAAGGTATTCCTGTCATAAAACTGCGCACAAACAGGTTGTCAACTAATGCTTTTTGCTATTAGGGATTTTAATAGTTTTTATTTTTACCTGTGACTTTGATGTTGGTGTGTACCAGATATAGAAATACAAAGTTACGAATCCCAATTCCATGTTATTGTTAGGTCAATAACTACTCTTGTATATGGAAGGACAGATTACACAGAAATTCTCTCATCAAGTTGGAATTGAAGTAACTGTCAGATGCTTAGGATACTCTTATGAAACTCTTGTTTCTTAGGTCTTTAATTGTTGTACCAGATATATACTTCCCATCAAAAGTTTAGACTCACTAGTGTAAATATAGCCATGTACTTCAGGCAACTGTTCTAAACTAGATTTTGCAAAATATTCCCTACTGTTTAAAGGAACTGTTTACACATGAACTGATGTATTGTAAAACAAATTGGTAATGTTGAAAAGATTATTGTCATGAGTTCCATAAATGATAATACTCAGTGAAAATTGGCGAGTTCTCAACAAAACTTTACACCCAAACGCAGCTGTTCACATGCACGATATTTGCACATGCTTTTCAGCAATTTGATGCATTATCCTTGTGCAATTCATCTGCATAAGGTTTCCAGTTTGTCCCCCCTAGTTAGTGGAGAAATCAATCTTCGATGTAACCATATATACTAGAATATATATATATATGTATATATATGTACATAACATATAGTGACTGTTTTAAGTGAGTCTAAACTTTTGATGGGAAGTATATTTACCACAGTATTGATGTATAGTTTGTAAGTCCTTCACACAGACACTGTTGTTGGATGTATCCTCACAAGACTAAGTTACCTGTACTAGGTGTCCAGGGGCAAGTGGCCGACATCAGTAGCAGCCCCATCAAGGAGGCCATCATCAAGCTGGACAACAGAGAGTTCACCGCCTCCGAGGATGGCACATTCTTCTTCCTCCTTAATGAAGGCTTCCACACCATTGAAGCAGATACACCAGGTAATGCATGCACTGACACCATTGAAGCAGATATACCAGGTAATGCATGCACTGCCACCATTGAAGCAGATACATCAGGTAATGCATGCACTGACACCACTGAAGCAGATACACCAGGTGATGCATGCACTGACACCACTGAAGCAGATACACCAGGTGATGCATGCACTGCCACCATTGAAGCAGATACACTAGGTAATGCATGCACTGACACCATTGAAGCAGATACACCAGGTAATGCATGCACTTACACTATTGAAGCAGATACACCAGGTGATGCATGCACTGCCACCATTGAAGCAGATACACCAGGTAATGCATGCACTGACACCTTTGAAGGAGATACACCAGGTAATGCATGCACTGACACCACTTAAGCAGATACACCAGGTAATGCATGCACTGACACCATTGAAGGAGATACCACCCGTGAAAATCCGAGATAAAATAGGTCTTCAGCAACCCATGCTTGCCACAAAAGGCGCCTATGCTTGTCGTAAGAGGCGACTAACGGGATCGGGTGGTCAGGCTCGCTGACTTGTTTGACACATGTCAATTCCCAATTTCGCAGATCGATGCTCATGCTGTTGATCACTGGATTGTCTGGTCCAAACTCGATTATTTACAGTCCGCCGCCATATAGCTGGAATATTGCTGAGAGCGGCATAAAACTTAACTCACTCACTCACTCACTGAAGCAGATACACTAGGTAATGCATGCACTGACACCATTACAGAAATTATGAAGTATTTTATAGATCTTTATATAAATAGATTGTGTCACCCTATTTGGTCACCCTATTAGAAAAAGGCAAACAAGGTTATGAAGTGATATGTTCTACAGGTTACGAGTCCCTCAACAAGAAGTTCCTCGTGGAGAGTGATGTGACAAGCGAGGTGAACTTGATGTTGACGCCTGAAGCAGACTCACTGGAATACCATGATTACCAGCAAACCAAGGACATGCTGCAGGGGCTCACCAATACATGCAAGGGCATAGTAAAGATACACAGGTGAGAGCAATGGCTGCTGCATGGCTGACGACCCTGGATATGCTCAACAAGTATTGTGTCTGTGTGTGTCTGTGTGTGTGTTTTACATGTCGCTGTGCTGTTGTTGCAGTATTGGAACCAGCAGCCTGAAGCGAGACCTCCTCATGGCCGATTTCCACAAGCCAGGGAAGAACAGCACCCCAGGGGTTTTGTTTGTGGGCAATATCCATGGCAACGAGGCAGTTGGCAGGGAGCTGCTGTTGCTGCTGGCTGATGACATCTGCCGAAATTATGGGAAGGATTCTTACATAACTGATGTAAGTATGTACATGGTATAGAAGAAAATTGGTTATGTGTGAAAGCAATTAGATATACCTCAAAAGTTAAAGAACATCTGACTTTTTTCATTTGACAAGAGTTATCTGTCCAGGTAGGTTGGCATCCCAACACAGCCTTCCTATTGTGAGGTATTTGTTTGTTGAAATCCAGTTGATCCTTGCTCTGTATCCATTCCCTGCATCACCATGATCAACTACTCATCACTTTTAGTGGATTGTGCCCATGTGTTTCATTACAGTTACTCTTTTCTTTTTTTGTCTTGATGCATATAAGATAACAGGATTCCACATCCCCTAAAACAATGAAATATTCAGAAAGTGATGTGAGTCTTGTAAATGCCTCCGTGGTCGTGTTTTTCAGCTTGTAGACAACACCCGTCTGTATCTCCTGCCGTCCCTCAACCCTGATGGAATGGCGTTGTCAAAAGAGGGTTGTGAGTCCACACAAGGACACAAGAATGGGAGGGAGATTGACCTGGACATGGCTTTCCCAGGTAAGTTTGTCAATATGCAGTAAGTGTAATTGGCGGACATCATTTGTTGACAAATTTTGTTGTGTGTTTGCACGGGTGGGAATTTTGACAACTGAACATAATTGTGCAGGTATTGAGGCCGACTTGAGGCAGATCCTGGAGCCAGAGGTGGCATCTCTCACCCAATGGATGGCTGGCACGGATCTGTCTACTGCCATCAGCCTACAGAATGGAGACCTGGTTGTTACATATCCTCACAGGAGAACAGGTAGGTACACTTTCTTTATGTCAGGCAGGTAGATAGATACCTGTGTTTGACAACCATACCCTATTGTCTCGTTTCTGTGTTTAACAACCATACCCTATTGTCTGTTTCTGTGTTTGACAACCATACCCTATTGTCTCATTTCTGTGTTTGACAACCGTACCCTATTGATTTGTTTCTGTTTTGACAACAATAGCCTATTGTCTTGTTTCTGTGTTTGAAAACTATACCCTATTGTCTCGTTTCTGTGTTTGACAACCATACCCTATTGTGTTGTTTCTGTGTTTGACAACCATACCCTATTGTGTTGTTTCTGTGTTTGACAACCATACCCTATTGTCTCGTTTCTGTGTTTAACAACCATACCCTATTGTCTGTTTCTGTGTTTGACAACCATACCCTCTTGTCTCATTTCTGTGTTTGACAACCGTACCCTATTGATTTGTTTCTGTTTTGACAACAATAGCCTATTGTCTTGTTTCTGTGTTTGACAACTATACCCTATTGTCTCGTTTCTGTGTTTGACAACCATACCCTATTGTGTTGTTATCTGTGTTTGACAACCATACCCTATTGTGTTGTTTCTGTGTTTGACAACCGTACCCTATTGTCTCATTTCTGTGTTTGACAACCGTTCCCTATTGTGTTGTTTCTGTGTTTGACAACAATAGCTTATATTGTGTTGTTTCTGTGTTTGACAACCATACCCTATTGTCTTGTTTCTGTTTGACAACCATACCCTATTGTCTCGTTTCTGTGTTTGACAACCGTACCCTATTGTGTTGTTTCTGTTTGACAACCATACCCTATTGTGTTGTTTCTGTTTGACATCCATACCTTATTGTGTTGTTTCTGTTTGACAACCATACTCTATTATCTTGTTTCTGACCGCCGTGATATTGCTGGAATATTGCTAAAAGCGGTTAGACAACCATACTCAGTTAGTCAGTATCTTGTTTCTGTGTTAGACAACCATAGCCTATTGTTTTGTTTCTGTGTTTGTCAACCATACCCTATTGTCTTGTTTCTGTGTTTGACAACCATACCCTATTGTCTTGTTTCTGTTTGACAACCATACCCTATTGTCTTGTTTCTGTGTTTGACAACCATACCCTATTGTCTTGTTTCTGTTTGACAACCATACCCTCTTGTCTTGTTTCTGTGTTATACAACCATAGCCTATTGTCTTGTTTCTGTTTGACAACCATACCCTATTATCTTGTTTCTGTGTTAGACAACCATACCCTATTGTCTTGTTTCTGTGTTAGACAACCATACCCTATTATCTTGTTTCTGTGTTAGACAACCATACCCTATTTTCTTGTTTCTGTGTTTGACATCCATACCCTACTGTGTTGTTTCTGTTTTGACATCCATACCCTACTGTGTTGTTTCTGTGTTTGACAACCATAGCCTATTGTCTTGTTTCTGTGTTTGATATCCATACCCTATTGTGTTGTTTCTGTTTTGACAACCATACCCTATTGTGTTGTTTCTGTTTGACAACCATACCCTATTGTGTTGTTTCTGTGTTTGACATCCATACCCTATTGTCTTGTTTCTGTGTTTGACAACCGTACCCTATTGTCTTGTTAACCGCACCCTTTTGTCTTGTTTCTGTGTTTGACATCCATGTACTATTGTGGTGTTTCAGCCCTGACTATGAAGGCAGATGAGGCCACCCTGAAGAAACTTGCCTCTGCCTACGTAAGCAACCACCCCCAGCTGAAGTCCGGGGCAGCCGGCTGTGACAACACCACAGGTAGGTTATGTATTGACTTGCACAACACTGGTAGCTAGCTACTTGAAGAACCTGTACCTGAGTGTTTGCAGACATGTCTTCAAGGGTGAACAAATATATGTGCCTTTACTTCAAAGCCAGGACCGTTTAAGAGTCAGTTACAACACTAGGTTCTGGTAGGGAAACTAAAATCTCAAGGTCAAGAAAAGCCTTCATACGATGTGTTACATTTACATCCAGAACCTTGGAGTCGTGTTTTAACATAACTTACAACCACAGACTTGCAGTGGTCAGGTAGGATCAATATCAGTGGCACATTGCTCACTGAGATGTTTTCCCAACATATATATACATACTCTTCATAAAAAGAAATGCAAACCCATATCTTAGTGATATTGGAACTAAGAATTCATTCCGGATTGATAACAGAGAGTCCAGATTGTGCCTGATGGTCCTCGGTTGTACCAAGCTCCTATTCACAGAGTGGCAGTCCAGGTGTACAAGCTCCTGGTCACCTGCAGTCAATAATGTGTATGTCCCTAGCATTAAGACCTGCTTGACACCCTCTGCCCACAGACACAATCAAAGATTGAATTATGGAGAATGGCGGCCACTTGGTTTGAAACACCAGACATGGGAGAGTCTGTGGCTGTGGTTGTTGTCCCACAAATGTTCTCTTGGATTCAAATCTGGCAATGTAGAGGGCCAAGTGAGGACATCAATGTCATTGTTGTATAGGTATGCAGCCATTACCAGTGTGTGAAATAGCCACTGGCCTGCTCGCCAGTGACTAGTAAAAATCCAGTCGGGCCTGTAAATCTCCAGTCACTGGCCAGACTGGCTAATGATTTTTTATGGGGTCCTTTTGTAAATATATCACTCTCTCTGACTTGTTCAGTTATAATACACTTTTAAATAATGCAATGGCCTGATAAAAATGTTCATCATATTAGCAGCTTAATGATGAAACCGGCGTCTACATGCAGATTTCAGGCTAGTGAATTATTTTGTGGGCTAGTAACTTTCAAGCATAGCTTGCCCAACTGCCTAGCAAAATTTGGAAACTATTTCACACACTGGCCGTTACATGTGCTGTGTGAGGCCTGGTGTTGTCTTGCTGGAATACAGCGTTGATGTTTGCCATGACAAGGATGACGTGAGGCCACAGGATCTGATCCATGTAGTTTTGCACCATTTGGTTGCCTCTATTGCTTCTCTGCCCTATGTTCACCCAAATACAGTCCCCAGGAAAGGAAATGCCATGTCTTTGCCACATGCAAATCAGACATGTTTATTTGGCTATGTTTTGTCAATTTAAACAATGGTAATTTTACTGACATCCAAATTCATATCTAAATGACTAGGTCCATCATTCAGACTTTATCATTATCATTTATACATATTTTTGTGTTGTGTTGAAACTCCATTGAGTGGTTAAGAAGATATACATAGGTCCCTTCAACTTCAGCACTATAATGTTTGACTGTATAGACATGTGTATGTAGCCATATGTCCAGGTACAGATGCCACGAACACTCTGTCCTGTTGAATGTTGCAGGTAAATACCCTGGAGGAATGGTCAGTGCCTTCAAACAACACAACCACTCTGGGAGTTTGATGGTGAGTACCTTCACTCATACATACTGCAGGTATTGACAGCAGGACTTGCATGTATCCTGTAACAGAAGTTGGTGTGCCATAATACATGTAAACATTGCTGTCTCTGGATTGTATAGTGTTATTCTGGGTGTACTGTATGATGTGAAAGTTCCTTTGGGTGTACTCTATAACATGAAAGTTACTGTGTACTTTATAACATGCCGTTTTATTCATGTCTCTCTCTCAAGGACTACATCTACGACAGCCAGCACATCCCCACCATCACCGTCTACACCGGCTGCTGTGTCTACCCACCGTCCTCCTTGCTCATTGACCTCTGGCACGCCAACAAGAAGTCCCTGCTTGCTGTCATACAGGAGGTGAGTCTCACACAAGAGGGCCACTCTAAGAGTCTTCCTATCAGGGCACAGGATAGCTGGAGTCTTCCTTGTTATCAAGGCACAGCATAACTAGAGACTTTCTTGATGTCACAGGATATCAGGTTTGAATATCTAGAGTCAACCTAGTTGACATGAGCCTTTATATCTTACAGGAGCAACAATATTAAGTGTCTGCCAAGATATCAAAGGGATAGCAGCAAAGTATTGGATCTAGATTTCAGAGGTTGGGATAACACATAACTTAAGCTTAAGATTTGCACATAAATATCTGGGATTGTGTTGGAATTGAATTTACATATGTCAGAGTATGAGGTAGCCACTAAACATTAGGGGTTGGGATGGCACCTAGATGTGGAGGGTTGGGATGGCACCTAGATGTGGAGGGTTGGGATGGCATCTAGATGTGGAGGGTTGGGATGGCATCTAGATGTGGAGGGTTGGGATGGCATCTAGATGTGGAGGGTTGGGATGGCATCTAGATGTGGAGGGGATGGCATCTAGGTGGAGGGTTGGGATGGCATCTAGATGTGGAGGGTTGGGATGGCATCTAGATGTGGAGGGTTGGGATGGCATCTAGATGTGGAGGGTGGGATGGGGTTGGGATGGCATCTAGATGTGGAGGGTTGGGATGGCATCTAGATGTGGAGGGGTTGGGATGGCATCTAGATGTGGAGGGTTGGGATGGCATCTAGATGTGGAGGGTTGGGATGGCATCTAGATGTGGAGGGTTGGGATGGCATCTAGATGTGGAGGGTTGGGATGGCATCTAGATGTGGAGGGTTGGGATGGCATCTAGATGTGGAGGGTTGGGATGGCATCTAGATGTGGAGGGTTGGGATGGCATCTAGATGTGGAGGGTTGGGATGGGATGGCATCTAGATGTGGAGGGTTGGGATGGCATCTAGATGTGAAGGGTTGGGATGGCATCCTAGATGTGGAGGTTGGGATGGCATCTGGGATGGCATCTAGATGTGGAGGGTTAGGATGGCATCTAGATGTGGATGGATGGCATCTAGATGTGGAGATGGGAGGGTTGGGATGGCACCTACTAGATGTGTGGGAGGCTAGGATGGCATCTAGATGTGGGATGGATGTGGAGGGTTGATGTGAGGGCTGGGATGGCATCTAGATGTGGAGGGTTGGGATGGCATCTAGATGTGGAGGGTTGGGATGGCATCTAGATGTGGAGGGTTGGGGATGGCATCCTAGATGTGGAGGGTTGGGATGGCACCTAGGGCACCTACATGTGGAGGGTTGGGATGGCATCTAGATGTGGAGGGTTGGGATGGCATCTAGATGTGGAGGGTTGGGATGGCATCTAGATGTGGAGGGTTGGGATGGCATGGCATGTGGAGGGCACCTAGATGTGAGGGTTGGGATGGCATCTAGATGTGGGTTGGGATGTGGAGGAGGTTGGGTTGGGATGGCATCTAGATGTGGAGGGTTGGGATGGCACCTAGATGTGGAGGGTTGGGATGGCACCTAGATGTGGATGGTATCTAGATGTGGAGGGTTGGGATGGCATCTAGATGTGGAGGGGGATGGGATGGCATCTAGATGTGGAGGGTTGGGATGGCATCTAGATGTGGAGGGGGGATGGCACCTGGGATTGGGATGGCATCTAGATGTGGAGGGTTGGGATGGCATCTAGATGTGGAGGGATTGGGATGGCATCTAGATGTGGAGGGTTGGGATGGCATCTAGATGTGGAGGGTTGGGGATGGCATCTAGATGTGGAGGGTTGGGATGGCATCTAGATGTGGAGGGGGATTGGGATGGCATCTAGATGTGGAGGGTTGGGATGGCATCTAGATGTGGAGGGTTGGGATGGCATCTAGATGTGGAGGGGATTGGGATGGCATCTAGATGTGGAGGGGGGATTGGGATGGCATCTAGATGTGGAGGGTTGGGATGGCATCTAGATGTGGAGGGTTGGGATGGCATCTAGATGTGGAGGGTTGGGATGGCATCTAGATGTGGAGGGATCTAGTTGGGATGGTAGGGTCTAGATGTGGAGGGATGGGATGGCATCTAGATGTGGAGGGGGATGGCATCTAGATTGGGATGGCATCTAGATGTGGAGGGTTGGGATGGCATCTAGATGTGGAGGGTTGGGGATGGCATCTAGATGTGGAGGGTTGGGATGGCATCTAGATGTGGAGGGTTGGGATGGCATCTACATGTGGATGTGGAGGATCTAGATGGGATGGCATCTAGATGTGGAGGAGGGGATGGGATGGCATCCTAGATGTGGAGGGTTGGGATGGCATCTAGATGGGAGGGTTGGGATGGCACCTAGATGTGGAGGAGTTGGATGGGTTGGGATGGAGGGTTGGGATGGCATCCTAGATGTGGGAGGGTTGGGATGGCATCTAGATGTGGAGGAGGGTTGGGATGGCATCTAGATGTGGATGTGGGATGGCATCTAGATGTGGAGGGTTGGGATGGCATCTAGATGTGGAGGGTTGGGATGGCATCTAGATGTGGAGGGGTTGGGATGGCATCTACATGTGGAGGGGTTGGGATGGCATCTAGATGTGGAGGATGGGGTTGGGATGGCATCTAGATGTGGAGGATGGGATGGCATCTAGATGTGGAGGAGATGGCATCTTGGGATGGGATGGCATCTAGATGTGGAGGTTGGGATGGCATCTAGATGTGGAGGGAGAGGGTTGGATGGCATCTAGATGTGGAGGCACCTAGATGTGGGGGATGGCATCTAGATGTGGAGGGTTGGGATGGCATCTAGATGTGGAGGGTTGGGATGGCATCTAGATGTGGAGGGTGGAGTTGGGATGGCATGTAGATGATGGAGGGGGATGGGATGGCATCTAGATGTGGAGGGTTGGGATGGCATCTAGATGTGGAGGTTGGGATGGCATCTAGATGTGGAGGGTTGGGATGGCATCTAGATGTGGAGGGATTGGGATGGCATCTAGATGTGGAGGGATGGCATGGGATGTGGATCTAGATGTGGAGGGAGTTGGGATGGCATCTAGATGTGGAGATGGCATCTAGATGTGGAGGGTTAAGGATGGGATGGATGCATCTAGATGTGGAGGAGGGATGGGATGGCATCTAGATGTGGAGGGATTGGGATGGGATGGCATCTAGATGTGGAGGGTTGGGATGGCATCTAGATGTGGAGGGTTGGGATGGCATCTAGATGTGGAGGGTTGGGATGGTATCTAGATGTGGAGGGATGGGATGGCATCTAGATGTGGAGGGTTGGGATGGCACCTAGATGTGGAGGTTGGGATGGCATCTAGATGTGGAGGGTTGGGATGGCATCTAGATGTGGAGGGTTGGGATGGCATCTAGATGTGGAGGGTTGGGATGGCACCTAGATGTGGAGGGTTGGGATGGCATCTAGATGTGGAGGGTTGGGATGGCATCTAGATGTGGAGGGTTGGGATGGCATCTAGATGTGGAGGGTTGGGATGGGATGGCATCTAGATGTGGAGGGAGGTGGGATGGCATCTAGATGTGGAGGGGGGATTGGGATGGCATCTAGATGTGGAGGGGTTGGGATGATGCATCTAGATGTGGAGGGGTTGGGAGGTTGGGATGGCATCTAGATGTGGAGGGTTGGGATGGCATGTGGAGGGTTAGGATGGCATCTAGATGTGGAGGGTTGGGATGGCATCTAGATGTGGAGGGTTGGGATGGCACCTAGATGTGGAGGGTTGGGATGGCATCTAGATGTGGAGGGATGGGATGGCACCTAGATGTGGAGGGTTGGGATGGCACCTAGATGTGGAGGGTTGGGATGGCACCTAGATGTGGAGGGTTGGGATGGCATCTAGATGTGGAGGGTTGGGATGGCATCTAGATGTGGAGGGTTGGGATGGCATCTAGATGTGGAGGGTTGGGATGGCATCTAGATGTGGAGGGGTTGGGATGGCATCTAGATGTGGAGGGTTGGGATGGCATCTAGATGTGGAGGGTTGGGATGGCATCTAGATGTGGAGGGTTGGGATGGCATCTAGATGTGGAGGGTTGGGATGGCATCTAGATGTGGAGTGGTTGGGATGGCATCTAGATGTGGAGGGATTGGGATGGCCATTATCTGGCTGGACATTATAGGTTATATGTGAAGTCAAGTGAAGTCTGCATCCAGCAAATGTTTTAGGGATATCACATGAAATGTTTGAATGGTTTAAGCTAGCTCCACCCTTAATGATCTATTTTCATATTCTGCTTCAGTCCCACTACGGGGTGTCAGGCGTGGTGGTCAATAAGCCCGGTACTGGTATGTCTGGTGTCGTCATATACGTGAAGGACTCAGGAACATTCCAGACACTGGCTGACCCTCACGGTTACTTCCACATGTACCTCGCCCCAGGCAAATACTCTCTGAAGACCTTCAGTCCAGAATTCCCGCAACACACCATGGTAAAGGAGAAATTACATGTATTCATATTTGTGACTGTTAACGTCTTGTCATATTCTCTATTACTTGATGATTGGAGCTTTTAACTTCATCTTTATGATATAAACCTTCGTGTCTCTGATCAGAGCTAGTTATGTTTGAGGAGAGTACGGGGAAGAATTGGTTGATGCCATAATGTTGACCACATTTTTGTGAGTGTAATACTTGGTGCACCATCATATCCTAGGATCTTTGCCTCTGCCACCAACCACAGGGTTGTCTGGCTCACTGTGGACGTACCGGGACTGCACATTACTACGATTTTTGCCTGTTTTGACAGGGTAACAATTGACTTGAATTTAAGCTCAGCCCTTAAAGAACAAAATAACTACCAAATGATTAAAGTAACAAGAAGATTCAGTGCTGTGGCAGATGAGAACGTGTTGGTTTATTGGACACGATTAGCACTAAGGGTGCAATACTGATTGAACTTTCCATGTAAAAATGTTTCAGCAATCATCCAGTAAGGGAGATCACACCATTTACTTAAAGATTAGATACAACATAATTAAAACACAATTATCATTTATTCATGACATATAATATACATTGCTGATTATGAAAAAACAAATGAACAAAATTATAAGCATACAATTGCAAATCAAAAGTGCAATATTTGGTACTTAGGTTTACTTCCCTCGAAACGAAGCAGCCGGGATACTGAACCCAGTCAGAGCGGGTGGGCCTGCACTTAAGTGTAACAAACACTTTCATTAGCTGGTTCATTTGCTGATACACTCAGGGCTTTATGTGTGTGTATAGAGATGTTGGGTTTTTTGAATACATGCTCATTTTTTGTGTATAACATTTTGAAATCAACAGAAAACATAACATGTCAATTGTCCAAGTATCACACCTGCCTGTCTGTGTAATTACATAATGTGACAGAGACCGAACTCCGATTTCATGGGTGGGGGTTCATTGAGTTATTTTTCAACTTTATAAGTTGAATTTGCATTTTTGCTAATTTGTTACTGTACTGAAAGGTCCATACTGAAAGGTATCAGAATCTGCAAAGTTGTGTTTTGCGTTGCATGTAAGCTTTAAATATGTGCAGTGTCGGTACAGGTCACAAGGATGTTGCTATAATATACCTCACCCTCTATCACACAGCATCTTCCCTGTTAAACACATCTGAGATGGTATTCTGTTGAGTGTGCCGTCTTTGTAAGGGTGGAAGACTTAAAATAGACCATAGGACTGGATGCTTGAATATGTTACTGATCCTTGTCAAAAGTTGCCAGTCCCAAATCTTATGGAGTCAAAAAAGTGATGATGATACTCTGTGTTGTTGTCCCGGGGACTCTGTATTCAGCGCGTCAGTACGTACGTCCCGATTCTTGTTAACGCGATATCTCATGAAGTGTTGTACCCAATGTCTTCAAATTTGGTGACAGCCTACATTGGGGGATTACGCAGACACCAGTCGACTTGAGTGACTTTGACATTATTTTCAAGGTCACCACGACGCTTTGGCCACTTTTCAAACTCTTGTTAATGCAATATCTCATGAACTGTTGTACCCAATGTTTTCAAGTTTGGTGACAGCCTACATTGGGGGATTACGCAGACCTGTCATTTTGGGTGACCTTGACCTTATCGTCAAGGTCACCACAACACTTTGACCACTTTTCATATCTCTTAAAACATTGCACCTAATGTCTTCAATTATGTCAACAGCCTACATTGGGTGATTGTGCAGACACCAGTGATATCAGGCATCTTGTATGTGACCAAAAAATAAAAAGTAGTAAAATGTTATAAATATTCCATTCTTTAGCAGCGGGGGACACTTGTTGTCTATTACTGTGAACTTGTATGAGGGAGATGATGGAGTACATGATGGCGATATGTAGTAGTAACTGGGCAGGTAGAATCAGATCATTCACAGGATTCTCATTTCACCCATCCTTGGAACTCACCAATCACAAATGGTGAAACCCTTGTTTAGTTGCATCTCTGATTTATTATGTTACAGAGTGTCACAGTGGGAGCTGATTCAGATCAAGGAAAAGAAGTTAGAATTGTCATGTCAAAAACAACATCAAAGACACTTCTGGTTGTTGCAGCAGGTGAGAGATTCGTGATGTTTCCATACTGAAGTAAAGAACACTTGCTGGTCAAGTGCAGGACCTAACCATTGTTGTAATAGGCACAGCAAGATACATTACTGTACATCTGACCCGTGAAGATCCCGGTTAGAATTGGTCTTTAGTAACCCATGCCTGTCGTAAAAGGCGACTAACTGGATCAGGTGGTCAGGCTCGTTCACTTGGTAGACACCTGTGATTGTATCCCAGTTGCATAGCTTGATGCTGATGATGTTGATTACTAGATTGTCTGGACTCGATAATTTACAGACCGCCGCCATATAGCTGGAATACTGCTGAGTAACATAACTTGCCTGTCACACTTCCATGGCTAACAAGAAACTTGATCTGATGTAGTCTTTCGGGCGGTGGGGTAGCTTAATGGTTAAAGCGTTGGCTCGTCACGCCGAAGACCCGGGTTCGATTCCCCACATGGGTACAATGTGTGAAGCCCATTTCTGGTGTCCCCTGCCGTGATGTTGCTGGAATATTGCTAAAAGCGGCGTAAAACCAAACTCAGTCAGTGATGTAGTCTTTCCTTTGTACTGCTGATACGCGAGTTTTGTTTCCATTTCAAACAATAAGTCTTCTATTACAGATGTATTGTTTCGGTTTTAGAGGATTTTGTTGCAGTTTTGGAAGTTTATTTTCCTATTTTGGTGATTTTTGTTCTGTTTTGGTGTATTTGAGTTCAGTTTTGATGATTTGTTTACCGTTTGTATGGTAGGCCTGTACTGAGACTATGTGTATGTATGCCCAGGTGTTATCAGTTTCGTGGTCATCATCGCCATCACAGCCATCATCTGCTTGAAGACCGGGAAGAACAAGAAGTATGACAACATTGGCTTCCATCGCCTCAACGGGGAAGCTGAGGATGAAGATGAGATCGAATTTTTTCAGCAGAAGAATAAATATAATACAAAGGAATATCACGACTACAGCTCAGATGATGAACACGATCTTTATGATGGACGATTATTGAGACGATAGTCACATTTCATCAATTATACTCAAAAGTAACATGTTAGAGATATGTTACCAAAAACCTCGGGGGTTATACTGTAAGTCATGAAATTAATGCATGTTGGTCATGAGATAATTGAGACTGCTTGCTTGCTTTGTTAAGGTGAGCCTTTTTTACCTGAATGTTGATAATGCTATTGCCATGTGAGGTGAACTGCACAAGCTGGGAATCAGCATTGTTAGGCTGTAAATTAAATATGATTTATCAATAGACAATTAAGTGAAGCACTGGACACAGCGTTTCTCAGTTCTAGTTTGGGCGGTAGGGTAGCCTGGAAGTGAAAGCATTCCCCCTAAAACACTGAAGGCCCAGGGTATATTCCCCACATGGATATATTGTGAAGCCCATACTGGTGCCCCACACCATGATATTGCTGAAATATTGCTAAAAGCAGTGTCAAACCATGTCCTGCTACAGCACATGATCATGATTTTGAGATTAAACGTGTGCTTTAAACAACAGCACATGTAGTGATGTGTAATATATACTGAACATTGCTGCTATTCCACACTCTAAAGATACCACCAACACTTCTTCATTGTTTGACAAAGTTGGTCTCATCTTAAGTGCTTCAGCTGGCAATTTCTGTTGTTCACATCAGGGAACAAATAAAGTTCCTTTTTAATCAGATAGTGTTTTCTAATTTCAGAGCTACCACCTTTATCTGATGAAAAACTTTAAACTTGGGGTGAAGCATAAATTTGATGCCATGAGTTTCATGATTTGCAGTATGTTGCTGACAACGGAGGGGGGTAGTTGAAGCTGTGTTGACAGTCTCCCCATTGTTACAAGCACAAGCCAGTATGTTGGATCCATGCTGGGTGTTCTGTGTAATCAGCTTCCATCCTGTGATCAGATTGTTTGAGGCTGCACACAGATACATATGACGATACAATGTGTAACTGATTACGGTCTTACTGACTGTTTACTATCTCTACCAGTCGGTGGGGCAATGGGGCACTGTATTGTTTGCCCCTCATGCCAAAAACCTGGTCGATTCCCCACCTGGGTACATTGTATGAAGCCCATATGTGGTGTCTATGATATTGGTAAAAGCAGTGTGATTGAGGCATTTACCATGTCATGTCAGAGGTCATGTTCCACATCATGTTGGTATTCATGTACCATGTCATGTCGTTGGTCATGTACCATGTCATGTTGTTGGGCATGTACCATGTCATGTTGTTGGGCATGTACCATGTCATGTTGTTGGGCATGTCATGTCGGTGGTCATGTACCATGTCATGTCGGTGATCATGTAACATGTCATGTTGTTGGGCATGTACCATGTCATGTTGTTGGGCATGTACCATGTCATGTTGTTGGGCATGTCATGTCGGTGGTCATGTACCATGTCATGTCGGTGATCATGTAACATATCATGTTGGTGTCATGTACCATGTCATGTTGGGCATGTACCATGTCATGTCGGTGGTCATGTACCATGTCATGTCGGTGGTCATGTAACATGTCATGTTGGCGTCATGTACCATGTCATGTCGATGGTTATGTAACATGTCATGTCGGTGGTCATGTACCATGTCATGTCGTTGGTCATGTACCATTTCATGTCGTTGGTCATGTACCATGTTATGTCGTTGGTCATGTACCATGTCATGTTGGTGGTCATGTAACATGTCATGTTGGTGGGCATGTACCATGTCATATTGTGGGGCATGTACCATGTCATGTTGCTTTCATGTACCACGTCTTGTCGATGGTAATGTACCATGTCATGTTGTTGGGCATGTACCATGTCATGTCGGTGGTCATGTACCATGTCATGTTGGTGGTCATGTAACATGTCATGTCGGTGGTCATGTTCAATGTCATGTCGCTTGTAATGCTGTACATCATGTTAATGGTCATATGCAATGTCATGTCAGTCATCTTCCATGTCAAGTTGGTGGTCATGGCAGCTACAAGCTACTCACATTAACATGGACGATGAACAAAGGGACATATTCTCTGTGTACAGCCTCAAAAGTCTGGCTCCAATATTGCATAAGAAGTGTACATAGTTTATTTTGTGATAGTTTTGCATGAGTCAAGTGAGGTGATGGATATGAAGATGTGTGTCCAATGTAATGTATTTTGTCGGGGAATGCAGGGTGGAACATATCCAAATGAAACAGATTAGTATATTTTGGTTTTTTCCTAATTTGAAGTCAGCAGTGATAGACAGTGGTATACTGGTGGAGACTTGTGGAGGAGCTCCAGCTGGCTGGGTACAGTAGGGCTGATGTTGGTATCAGGGATTACTTAAACAGATATTTGTTGTTGTAAGACATGCCTTGCACAACACAGTTTATAGTAAACCTGAAATATCAGTTGTTTAGAATCTCCATGGACTAACCCATGTTTCAGTGGATGAAACAGACCCAGAAGGAAGGCATATCCATGTGTATAAAACCAGTGTATGAAACAAGCCAAAAAACCCTGCCACACATCAGGGTTGGGAACTTCAAAATGGTACCAGCCCAAAATAAATTTAACCAGACCAGACAATCCAAAGAAAATAACTCAATTTTTAGTTACCATGAATAATGTAATGAACCTGAGAGATGTATTTACTGCAGAACACGATAGGTACATCGATATGTGTTGCTCGTTTAGCGGTAATATATGTCAACGCAGTGCTTTGACATTGCGATACAATAGTTCAAAGGTCAAACAATAATGTCAAGTCTAATTTTAACGCTCAATTTGAAAAATAGATTTTCAGATATGGTGAATTTACTCAGATGTATGGAACATGTTATCTATATTTTTACCAGACCATCGGGATGGCTAGCTGTGAATTTACACCGTCCGTCAGAAATCTAGCCTGTGTCAGGCAGTCAGACAGGCCTTATTTCATACACTGATATAACCTGCCCTACAGTGAGATGCAGATATATTTATGGGGTTTATATGGTCTGGCAAACTTTATTCAATGTATGTATATATATTTAGTAACATGTATCAATATGTTTCCAGTGTTTGTAGTCGATGTTCATAGAGTAACTATTTTGGTTGAGGGTGTATGGGTAAGCATGCCTCACAGATTTAGCCAGGAGATTTGCCTTACTGTAGTCAATAGGTGATCCACTGGAGTACAACAGTGGTTCTCTCCAGTTGTGCCAGGTTGTTGGTGAAGAAATACTTAGACGTGCATCACACTAATGTTAAATGGCTTCAGATGGGCATTTTTTCACTGATGTCTCAACCCCAAACCCAAACATTCCGATTGGTCAGTCATCAATTATGCGAAGGCTTCCAGAAGTTTACACATCTAGCTCAGCCTGTATGATATGCCTCATGTAAACTATTCCTACATATGTCGTTTTTACCCGTTTGACTTCATGTTAACAGCTTTTCTCCTGAAATGTTTTGTTAGCTTTGTTTGCAGCCATGTTGGCACCAGGATGCTACACGTTGCTGACTTGTCCATTCCTGGTCCATTCCTGGTCCAATAGTTCTGTGTTTTACTGTAAATGCCACATTATACACAGTGCATCATTTGTAAAATAAAAGCTGGAATTCATCTTAAAATGAAGATTCTCAAATGGAAACAGGGTGTACAGAGAAGAGAAAATGTATAAAAAAAATTTGTCATTAAGTCATGACATGATTTATTTGGTCACATGCTCAGCAGGAACACCCTGTGGTAGCTAGATTGTGTTTTCATGTATAATGTGTACAGCAATGAATGTTTTCCTCCCTGCTGCTGGTGATGTGATGGAAACTACCACACACATAACCATGTCTTTTTCAATATGATCTTATGTTATTACTGAATGAAGATAATTTTATGGATATACAACCATTCACAGAACAAAGAAGTTGTATATCCCTAAAATTATCTTCATTCTTCATTGCCTGTTATTACTTATAACTACATGTATATTTTCTGCTGTGAAACAACGTGACACTGACACAGATCCTGGCCTGTTACTGGACTGTCCAGCCTGTTGCAGGTATACAGCTATACGGCTATACAGCTATACAGCAGTAGGAAACAAACGTGACACTGACACAGATCCTGGCCTGTTACTGGACTGTCCAGCCTGTTGCAGGTATACAGCTATACGGCTATACAGCTATACAGCAGTAGGAAACAAACGTGACACTGACACAGATCCTGGCCTGTTACTGGACTGTCCAGCCTGTTGCAGGTATACAGCTATACAGCAGTAGGAAACAAACGTGACACTGACACAGATCCTGGCCTGTTACTGGACTGTCCAGCCTGTTGCAGGTATACAGCTATACAGCAGTAGGAAACAAACGCGTGACACTGACACAGATCCTGGCCTGTTACTGGACTGTCCAGCCTGTTGCAGGTATACAGCTATACGGCAGTAGAAACAAGCGTGACACTGACACAGATCCTGGCCTGTTACTGGACTGTCCAGCCTGTTGCAGGTATACAGCTATACGTAGGAAAACAACAAGCGTGACACTGACACAGATCCTGGCCTGTTACTGGACTGTCCAGCCTGTTGCAGGTATACAGCTATACACAGCTGGCCTGTTACTGGACTGTCCAGCCTGTAGGAAACAACGCGTGAAACACTGACACAGATCCTGGCCTGTTACTGGACTGTCCAGCCTGTTGCAGGTATACAGGTATACAGCTATACAGCAGTAGGAAACAAACGTGACACTGACACAGATCCTGGCCTGTTACTGGACTGTCCAGCCTGTTGCAGGTATACAGCTATACGGCAGTAGGAAACAAATGTGACACTGACACAGATCCTGGCCTGTTACTGGACTGTCCAGCCTGTTGCAGGTATACAGCTATACGGCTATACGGCTATACAGCAGTAGGAAACAAACGTGACACTGACACAGATCCTGGCCTGTTACTGGACTGTCCAGCCTGTTGCAGGTATACAGCTATACGGCTATACGGCTATACAGCAGTAGGAAACAAACGTGACACTGACACAGATCCTGGCCTGTTACTGGACTGTCCAGCCTGTTGCAGGTATACAGCTATACGGCAGTAGGAAACAAACGTGACACTGACACAGATCCTGGCCTGTTACTGGACTGTCCAGCCTGTTGCAGGTATACAGCTATACAGCAGTAGGAAACAAACGTGACACTGACAAAGATCCTGGCCTGTTACTGGACTGTCCAGCCTGTTGCAGGTATACAGCTATACAGCAGTAGGAAACAAACGTGACACTGACACAGATCCTGGCCTGTTACTGGACTGTCCAGCCTGTTGCAGGTATACAGCTATACAGCAGTAGGAAACAAACGTGACACTGACACAGATCCTGGCCTGTTACTGGACTGTCCAGCCTGTTGCAGGTATACTGCTATACGGCTATACAGCTATACAGCAGTAGGAAACAAACCCATTTTCTGATGTATTTTTTGTTGTTTTGTTTTTGCCCTAAGGGACACTTTTGTAATCTATGCACTTGCGAATTACCTTATTTTGGATATGCTTAACAGTTTTTATACAAGTTCTCTGCAATGTATGCTTGCCAGATTAATATTTCATTGATTGGGATTTCAGTAGTTTTACAGATAGATAAAGTATATTTTGAGTGTATGTCATTATTTTAGACCAAAGGTTTCCAAACTTAGTGTGCTCATTTTTTTGTATCATTGAGCAATGATTTTGTCTTTCATGATATGATTTGAGAGTGATTTGTGAACTATTTCATTGTTCTCAAAAGGACAGATTTAGATTTACATGTATACACTGTCAATGCACATATAATGTGCCACTGACATATTTTGGAATTTCAGGTGTCAAGTTGTGAGATCATCTGATTCCCAATAGTACATCAGAGAAGAAACTTAAGTTTGCTCATTTTATCATTTACAACATAATTATTCAGTTTTGACATTCCACTTATGTAATATCTGATCTGAAACCTGCTCATTACAAACCTGTGTTAACGCTGGTGGTGTTGGTACAGATGTTGGAGGCCACCACAACAGTGGAATCAGACATGAAGTCTCAGGCATGTCTGTACAAGTGGAAATAATTCATAAAGTGTTTTGAATATTTTGATGGAAGTGTATGACAGCTTTATGATGCTTGTTAATAAAATGTTAATTGTATAGATAGTTGTCTGTGGTTATTTCCCCACAGTGTGTATATTCATGGGCTCAGGCATTAGAATGATCAGACACAGGTGATTTGTAGTCTGTCGTTCGTTATGCGCGTGACAGATAGTCAGGAAGTTGTCTGTGGCTGCTTCTGCACACGACAGTCAGAGAGTCGTCTGTGATTACTTCTGCACATGACAGATAGTCAGGAAGTTGTCTGTGGCTGCTTCTGCACACGACAGTCAGAGAGTCGTCTGTGATTACTTCTGCACATGACAGATAGTCAGGGAGTCTGTACCTGTGAAGTTCCGGGTTGGAATATTGATCTTCAGTAACCCATGCTTGTCGTAAGAGGCGACTAACGGGATCGGGTGGTCAGACTCGCTGACTGTTGACACATGTCATCGGTTCCCAATTATGCAGATCCATGCTCATACTGTTGATCACTGGATTGTCTGGTCCAGACTGGATTATTTACAGACCGCCGCCATATAGCTGTAATATTGCTGAGTGCGGCGTAAAACTAAACTCACTCACTCAGGGAGTCTGTAGTTACTTCTGCACACGACAGATAGTTAGGGAGTCATCTGTAGTTACTTCTGGACATGATAGATAGTCAGGAGTCATTTCGTGTTACTTCTGTACATGACATAGTTAGGGAGTCATCTGTGGTTACTTCTGGACATGATAAGATAGTCAGGGAGTCATCCGTGGTTACTTCTGATGCATGATAGATAGTCAGGGAGTCGTATGTGGTTACTTCTGTACATGATAGATAGTCAGGAGTCATTTCGTGTTACTTCTGTACATGACATAGTTAGGGAGTCATCTGTGGTTACTTCTGGACATGATAAGATAGTCAGGGAGTCATCCGTGGTTACTTCTGGACATGACAGATAGTCAGGGAGTCATCCGTGGTTACTTCTGGACATGACAGATAGTCAGGGAGTCATCTGTGGTTACTTCTGGACATGACAGATAGTCAGGGAGTCATCTGTGGTTACTTCTGGACATGACAAATAGTTAGGGAGTCATCTGTGGTTACTTCTGGACATGACAGATAGTCAGGGAGTCATCCGTGGTTACTTCTGGACATGACAGATAGTCAGGGAGTCATCTGTGGTTACTTCTGGACATGATAGATAGTCAGGAGTCATTTCGTGTTATTTCTGTACATGACATAGTTAGGGAGTCATCTGTGGTTACTTCTGGACATGATAAGATAGTCAAGGAGTCATCCGTGGTTACTTCTGATGCATGATAGATAGTCAGGGAGTCGTATGTGGTTACTTCTGTACATGATAGATAGTCAGGAGTCATTTCGTGTTACTTCTGTACATGACATAGTTAGGGAGTCATCTGTGGTTACTTCTGGACATGATAAGATAGTCAGGGAGTCATCCGTGGTTACTTCTGGACATTACAGATAGTCAGGGAGTCATCCGTGGTTACTTCTGGACATGACAGATAGTCAGGGAGTCATCCGTGGTTTCTTCTGGACATGACAGATAGTCAGGGAGTCATCCGTGGTTACTTCTGGACATGATAAGATAGTCAGGGAGTCATCCGTGGTTACTTCTGGACATGACAGTTAGTCAGGGAGTCATCCGTGGTTACTTCTGGACATAACAGATAGTCAGGGAGGCATCCGTGGTTACTTCTGGACATGACAGATAGTCAGGAGGCATCCGTGGTTACTTCTGGACATGACAGAAAGTCAGGGAGTCATCCGTGGTTACTTCTGGACATAACAGATAGTCAGGGAGTCATCCGTGGTTACTTCTGGACATGACAGATAGTCAGGGAGTCATCTGTGGTTACTTCTGGACATGACAAATAGTTAGGGAGTCATCTGTGGTTACTTCTGGACATGACAGATAGTTAGGGAGTCATCCATGGTTACTTCTGGACATGACAGATAGTCAGGGAGTCATCTGTGGTTACTTCTGGACATGACAAATAGTTAGGGAGTCATCTGTGGTTACTTCTGGACATGACAGATAGTCAGGGAGTCATCTGTGGTTACTTCTGGACATGACAAATAGTTAGGGAGTCATCTGTGGTTACTTCTGGACATGACAGATAGTCAGGGAGTCATCCGTGGTTACTTCTGGACATGACAGATAGTCAGGAGTCATCCGTGGTTACTTCTGGACATGACAGATAGTCAGGGAGTCATCCGTGGTTACTTCTGGACATGACAGATAGTCAGGGAGTCATCCGTGGTTACTTCTGGACATGACAGATAGTCAGGGAGTCATCCGTGGTTACTTCTGGACATGACAGATAGTCAAGGAGTCATCTGTGGTTACTTCTGGACATGACAATTAGTTCGGGAGTCATCTGTGGTTACTTCTGGACATGACAGATAGTTAGGGAGTCATCCATGGTTACTTCTGGACATGACAGATAGTCAGGGAGTCATCTGTGGTTACTTCTGGACATGACAAATAGTTAGGGAGTCATCCGTGGTTACTTCTGGACATGATAGATAGTCAGGGAGTCATCTGTGGTTACTTCTGGACATGACAGATAGTCAGGGAGTCATCTGTGGTTACTTCTGGACATGACAAATAGTTAGGGAGTCATCCGTGGTCACTTCTGGACATGACAAATAGTTAGGGAGTCATCTGTGGTTACTTCTGGACATGACAGATAGTCAGGGAGTCATCTGTGGTTACTTCTGGACATGGCAGATAGTCAGGGAGTCATCTGTGGTTACTTCTGGACATGACAGATAGTCAGGGAGCCATCTGTGGTTACTTCTGGACATGACAAATAGTTAGGGAGTCATCTGTGGTTTCTTCTGTACATGATAAGATAGTCACGGAGTAATCTTTCATTACTTCTGCACATAACATAGAGTCAAACAGTTGTATGTTTCTACTTCTGCAGATGGCGGTTAGTCAGGGAGTAGGGCCACGACACATGTCATATTCTCAGTGGCGTCATGGTTTGTAGATTGTGAATCAGACACTGACGGATTTTGTTTAAGACGGTGTATTCAGTGGCTGTTGAAGGCAGGGTAGATAACCTGTAGCTGTATCAGGAGAACTTGTCGCACTGTACCTGCGGCATTATCACAATTATCACTGAGGCTTCAACTGAAATATTCGTCACGACTGCACGTGACGTTCCATATCTCGCATAGGTAGACAAATCTAATCATAGACATATCTTGAACAACATTTGCATAGCCAATGTGTGTAGTTCCACACAACTCTAATTTACCTCACGCTCAGGCATAACTAGAGGTGAATGTTAACCTTCCAGTCAACCAACATCAGTCTCTTCATTCACGTATTATTGTCAAGCGTCCAGATCAACTGTTCCACCCTGGAGACATATATACTGCCATGGCTGTTATCACCCACCTCAAGGCCTGCTGGAGAACTCTGGTTGTTGTGGCAACACCATTACTGCTGTCTCCGCTCGTCGTCCCGGGGACGTCTTCGGTACGTTAATGTTTATGCACGTGTGGTTGGCTTACATTTCATAAAGATATTTTCAACATTATAATCGCATTGCTGCCTAGGCGGTAAAGTTGATGGTATTATACACAGCTATCTACATGATATATAATAATTGTATAATTACACCTTTCGATTTCATAACGTGGTTCCTATGCCGAGAAACACATGTAGTAACTGGTGGTAAGCCTGACTCCAAACAGCTGCCTCATGAGGTGATTAGCTCTCACTATATACTTCGACATTACATTTACATCAGATGTGCGACAGAATATCTATGGTGAACATCAACAGTCATCAAACTATATAGTACATTTCCATAACATATGTTTCGTTTGTAGGTATCCAAGTGTGGCTTTGGTCTAGTAATGATGGCGGTGTTCTGGTTGACGGAGGCACTTCCTCTACCAGTAACGGCCCTTCTTCCGGTTTTACTGTTCCCGTTGATGGGAATAGTTCCATCAAAAGAAGTGTCACGGTTTTACTTGATGGTATATCTGTTGTATTTGTTTAAACGAAGTAAAAACGATTGATCTCAGTACTGGCAAACATTCTTCTACATGTGCAAAGGTAATGTCTTGTTAAATCAGATGATATCTATCTCGTCACAGTTAGTGAGACAAAGATTCATTTTTACAGGATATAAACTTCCTGCTGATGGGGGGCTTGTGTGTTGCGATGGCCATTGAGGAATGCAACCTACACAAACGCTTCGCCTTGAGATTGTTGCTGTTCCTCGGAGTACAGCCACGACGGTAGGCACTGCTTGAAGCGACCGTCCTACTGGCATACACAATTGTTGTACACATGGCTTGTTTCTGTGAAAATGTATACTTTTTCGGATCATTCTTTAAAAAAAACCTTTGTTCTGAAGAAGCGAGTGACTAATGTCTATGTGTGTCTGAGATCGTGTGATATGTGATTGAGACCTTTTGGTGAGGCGTATTTGATACCTGTTTTATATCTCTGGGTGATATGTGATTGAGACCTTTTGGTGAGGCGTATTTGATACCTGTTTTATATCCCTGGGTGATATGTGATAGAGACCTTTTGATGATGCGTATTTGATACCTATTTTATATCTCTGGGTGATTTGTGATTGAGACCTTTTGGTGAGGCGTATTTGATACCTATTTTATATCTCTGGGTGATATGTGATTGAGACCTTTTGGTGAGGCGTATTTGATACCTATTTTATATCTCTGCGTGATATGTGATTGAGACCTTTTGGTGAGGCGTATTTGATACGTATTTTATATCTCTGGGTGATATGTGATTGAGACCTTTTGGTGATGCGTATTTGATACCTGTTTTATATCCCTGGGTGATATGTGATTGAGACCTTTTGGTGAGGCGTATTTGATACCTGTTTAATATCTCTAGGTGATATGGGATTGAGACCTTTTGGTGAGGCGTATTTGATACCTATTTTATATCTCTGGGTGGTATGTGATTGAGACCTTTTGATGATGCGTATTTGATACCTATTTTATATCTCTGCGTGATATGTGATTGAGACCTTTTGGTGAGGCGTATTTGATACCTATTTTATATCTCTGGGTGATATGTGATTGAGACCTTTTGGTGAGGCGTATTTGATACCTGTTTTATATCTCTGGGTGATATGTGATTGAGACCTTTTGGTGAGGCGTATTTGATACCTATTTTATATCTCTGCGTGATATGTGATTGAGACCTTTTGGTGAGGCGTATTTGATACCTATTTTATATCTCTGCGTGATATGTGATTGAGACCTTTTGGTGAGGCGTATTTGATACCTGTTTTATATCTCTGGGTGATATGTGATTGAGACCTTTTGGTGAGGCGTATTTGATACCTGTTTTATATCTCTGGGTGATATGTGATTGAGACCTTTTGGTGAGGCGTATTTGATACCTGTTTTATATCTCTGGGTGATATGTGATTGAGACCTTTTGGTGAGGCGTATTTGATACCTGTTTTATATCTCTGGGTGATATGTGATTGAGACCTTTTGGTGAGGCGTATTTGATACCTATTTTATATCCCTGGGTGATATGTGATTGAGACCTTTTGGTGAGGCGTATTTGATACCTGTTTTATATCTCTGGGTGATATGTGATTGAGACCTTTTGGTGAGGCGTATTTGATACCTATTTTATATCTCTGGGTGATATGTGATTGAGACCTTTTGATGATGCGTATTTGATACCTATTTTATGTCTCTGCGTGATATGTGATTGAGACCTTTTGGTGAGGCGTATTTGATACCTGTTTTTATATCTCTGGGTGATATGTGATTGAGACCTTTTGGTGAGGCGTATTTGATACCTATTTTATGTCCCTGGGTGATATGTGATTGAGACCTTTTGTGAGGCGTATTTGATACCTGTTTTATATCTCTGGTCGATATGTGATTGAGAGCTTTTGGTGGACGTATTTGATACCTGTTTTATGTCCCTGGGTGATATGTGATTGAGACCTTTTGGTGAGGCGTATTTGATACCTGTTTTATATCTCTGGGTGATATGTGATTGAGACCTTTTGGTGAGGCGTATTTGATACCTGTCAGCGATGAGTGTTTATGGCGTGTTGATGGCGCCATGCGACACACCCTTGTTACCTATGTGATTTAGTGCTGCCATGTTTCAGACTGATGCTAGGCTTTATGCTGGCGACTGGCGTACTGTCCATGTGGATCAGCAACACGGCGTCCACGGCCATGATGTTGCCTGTTGCTCGCGCTCTGTTTGCGAGACTTGTTGTCCTGAAGAGGAGGAGGAATGCGGGGAAGCAGTCTCGTGTAGGTGAGCGTCATGTTTCGAGATTCGTGCCACCTGCTAGTAGGACCTCCAACATGAGAAACACTCCATTTATAGGTCGCAAGTTGTTTTGTTTTCATATTTATATAAAAAAATGTATTGTTACAGCAATAATGGTTGACAGCACTGAACATACTGAGCTGATGGTGAAAGAGCCACCAGAGAACACGGCCAACATGGAGGAAGACCCAAGTCGGTAAGGTGGTAAGCAACAGGTGGCACGTATATACTAACTGGTGTTACTAGCAATTGCACACAACTAAACAGCATCACGTCTGTATTAATGTCAGTCTAAACATAATGTTCTATGAATTATTCGACCGACCCTTCACAGTGAAATTGTGTATATGCACAAAAACTTAGTTAAGCACCCCTGACATATCTCACGATAGAATGAGTCCCGATCTTAACCCTTTGGAGCATATCTGGGACATGATTGGTCGTCGTGTGCAAAAAAGAGATCCTCCTGTACAGAACCTGGCCCAATTGGAAGCTGCTTTCCACGAGGATTGGTGTAGGTTGCCCCTTCAGAGTCTCAATAGCTGACAGGGGTATGAGGAGGAGAGTGCTGGCTGTCATGCAGTAACATGGAGGTTACACTCGATATTGACCTTGAATCGTGTAAGACACGCAAAATGACATTTTGAATGTTCACATTCACCAATAAATTCAACATTAAACATTCCACAGCCATACTTGTACAGACATGGTTTTGTATGAAATCAGTGTTAAACATGAGCAATTATCATAAAAAATCAACATGGTTTCCAATCATTTTGTCGTTTTATTCATGAGTCACAGGATCATACGGGTCAGAAAAACTCATGTTTTTCCATCGTGATCACCATGAGAAGTTTCATGTACGCGTTGAAAACCTACCATTGCCAAAATACAGGGGTTGCTTAATTGAGTTCTTTGTGTATATATAAGATAAATTACATACTGGCAGACAGCCTGCTGTGACGGAGGACGTTGTGGACTTCAATCACCTGGACCCCGAGTCGCTGGGCCTGCTGAAAGCCCTGTGTCTGTGCGTCTGTTACTCCGCCAACTGTGGGGGAGTAGGGACCCTCACCGGGTCGGCGCCGCAGCTCGTGTTGAAGGGCCAGATGGACAGGTTAGTACAGAGCTGGTCGTGCGGGCCTATTTTCTGGATCAGACCGATCTCCTGTAAAAATCTGTTGATGATGTTTCAATGAATCCCTGATCAGTTTGCCAGCGAAGGTCATTGACCGGGTTACAACTAAATTTTGCATCAACGCATCAGAATGGCTGAATGTACGATGCATCTTTTTGTAAAGTGCCCAAAGACCGAAGTTTACTGTTGGCGTCAAGACACCATCCACATGGTATACTGACCGTTGTCCTCTGTGTTGCTATACAGTATAGACGGTGGTCGGGGCACGCTGTCCTTTACCTCCTACAGGGTGTACTGACCGTTGTCCTCTGTGTTACTATACAGTATAGACGGTGGTCGGGGCATGCTGTCCTTTACCTCCTACATGGTGTACTGACCGTTGTTCTCTGTGTTACTATACAGTATAGACGGTGGTCGGGGCACGCTGTCCTTTACCTCCTACAGGGTATACTGACCGTTGTCCTCTGTGTTACTATACAGTATAGACGGTGGTCGGGGCATGCTGTCCTTTACCTCCTACATGGTGTACTGACCGTTGTTCTCTGTGTTACTATACAGTATATAGACGGTGGTCGGGGCACGCTGTCCTTTACCTCCTACAGGGTGTACTGACCGTTGTCCTCTGTGTTGCTATACAGTATAGACGGTGGTCGGGGCACGCTGTCCTTTACCTCCTACAGGGTGTACTGACCGTTGTCCTCTGTGTTGCTATACAGTATAGACGGTGGTCGAGGCACGCTGTCCTTTACGTCCTACAGGGTGTACTGACCGTTGTCCTCTATGTTGCTATACAGTATAGACGGTGGTCGGGGCACGCTGTCCTTTACCTCCTACAGGGTGTACTGACCGTTGTCCTCTGTGTTGCTATACAGTATAGACGGTGGTCGGGGCACGCTGTCCTTTACGTCCTACAGGGTGTACTGATCGTTGTCCTCTGTGTTGCTATACAGTATAGATGGCGGTCGGGGCACGCTGTCCTTTACCTCCTACATGGTGTACGCCTTGCCACTGTCAGCGTTGTGCCTTGTGTGTGTGTGGCTGCTCCTCCAGATCACCTGCTTCGGATTCAGGTAACATACGTTCAGCCATGTCTAATTTTGGAAATTTGAGGAATATTTGTAATGGTCGTAAACCGTATCAGTAAAGTGCAATATTTACGTGATATTTCACTGAGGTATACAAAATACCGTTTGATTGATCCGTGTATTCATCTATAACCATTCTTATTTCAGGAAAACATTTTCATGCCGAGGATCAGAAATTGCCGAAGATGAAACAGAAATAAGGAATTTAATAAAGAGGGATTACAAAGCTCTTGGTCCATTGAGGTAAGTTTCAATCTATTACTACGACTACCATTCTGCCATCGTTATGTGTACAAATATTCTACTCAAGACATTACTCATATTCAAAAGTGGAGAAAGACCTTTTGTTCATGCACTTGGTATTCGTGTTGACTGATTATAGGACCTTGGTACCTGTGTTCACTGTTGACGTGTCCTTGATACCTGTGTTGACTGATTATAGGACCTTGGTACCTGTGTTGACTGATTATAGGACCTTGATACCTGCGTTTGCTGTTGACGTGTCCTTGGTACCTGCGTTCACTGCTGACGTGTCCTTGGTGCCTGTGTTCACTGTTGACGTGTCCTTGATACCTCTGTTCACAGTTGACGTGTCCTTGATACCTGTGTTCACTGTTGACGTGCCCTCGATACCTGTGTAGACTGCTGACGTGTCCTTGATACCTGCGTTCACTGCTGACGTGTCTTTGATACCTGCGTTCACTGTTGGCGTGTTCTTGGTATCGGTGTTCACTGTTGACGTGTCCTTGATGCCTGTGTTCACTGTTGACATGTCCTTGATACCTGTGTTCACTGTTGACGTGTCCTTGATACCTGTGTTCACTGTTGACGTGTCCTTGGTACCTGTGTTCACTGTTGACGTGTCCTTGATACCTATGTTCACTGTTGACATGGGTTTATAGACGTGTACATATGTTGACTGTTGTGTATAGACGTGTACATATGTTGACTGTTGTTTATAGACGTGTACGTGTGTTGACTGTTGTTTATAGACGTATACGTGTGTTGACTGTTGTTTATAGACGTGTACGTGTATTGACTGTTGTTTATAGACGTGTACGTGTGTTGACTGTTGTTTATAGACGTGTACGTGTGTTGACTGTTGTTTATAGACGTGTACATATGTTGACTGTTGTTTATAAACGTGTACATATGTTGACTGTTGTTTATAGACGTGTACGTGTGTTGACTGTTGTTTATAGACGTGTACGTGTGTTGACTGTTGTTTATAGACGTGTACATGTGTTGACTGTTGTTTATAGACGTGTACATATGTTGACTGTTGTTTATAAACGTGTACATATGTTGACTGTTGTTTATAGACGTGTACGTGTATTGACTGTTGTTTATAGATGTTTACGTGTGTTGGCTGTTGTTTATAGACGTATACGTGTGTTGACTGTTGTTTATAGACGTGTACATATGTTGACTGTTGTTTATAGACGTGTACATATGTTGACTGTTGTTTATAGACGTGTACGTGTGTTGACTGTTGTTTATAGACGTGTACGTGTGTTGACTGTTGTTTATAGACGTGTACGTGTGTTGACTGTTGTTTATAGACGTGTACATATGTTGACTGTTGTTTATAGACGTGTACATATGTTGACTGTTGTTTATAGACGTGTACGTGTGTTGACTGTTGTTTATAGACGTGTACGTGTGTTGACTGTTGTTTATAGACGTGTACGTATGTTGACTGTTGTTTATAGACGTGTACATATGTTGACTGTTGTTTATAGACGTGTACGTGTATTGACTGTTGTTTATAGACGTGTACGTGTGTACATTGTGTATATCCATGTAACGTTGTTTATTGACACACTTGTCAGTTTTGCAGAGTGGATCGTGATGCTCCACTTCATAGTACTGGTGTTATTGTGGCTGACCCGGCAGCCAGGGTTCTTCACTGGATGGTCACATCTGTTCCTGAACGGGTATGAAGGCAACTTACTGCTGTAATCTAACATCTTTAACACCAATAGCATATATTTGTGGTACTAATCGAAAAGCTGTTGGAAGTGGTATGTAGAACACTTGAATGTGATAACGTAATTAGCCAGCAACACCAGAGGAAGGTTTGTCTGCCTGTCTGTCTGTCAGTCTGTCTGTGACCAAGTGTGTGTGTGTGTGTGTGTGACTTTCTGTTTCTGTGCGTGTGTCTGTGTGCGCGTGTGTGTGTGTCTGTGTGCGTGCGTGCGTGTGTGCTCTCCTCATCCTGTTGTTCCTGAGTTCCATCTCTCCCCTTTTCCCCAGCTACTTGAGTGACGCTGTTCCCGCCATCCTTGTATCCTGCAGTCTATTCATCTGTCCACGACAAAGGCCAAACGTTCTGTTCTTCAGGAGGAAAGGGGGTACGTTGTCACCCGTTGGACTAATAGCTGCGATTAGTCGCGTTTACACAAATTGTGCACCACATATTGACAGCGATAACTTGCCATCAGATTAGTATGTATACTGTTCTAAAAGTTCACAGTGGACACTTTTACTTGTTAGAGTCAACTCATGTTGCCTGGACATAATTTGACTCTGGCCCTTAAGTGTGATGAGTATTTGCTATGTTTCATATCAGACACAAGTGAACCTGTATCCCAAGAGGCAATCCTACAGTGGTCTGTGGTGAGTTCAAGGTTCCCCTGGGGCGTTCTTCTGTTGCTTGGCGGAGGATTCGCTCTGGCTGATGCATGTCAGGTGAGTACATGTCTATGAATGTAAAGGTCTGGTTACATATCCCGATCCCTCACAACTCCACCTCTCCAGTGCTCCCTATGGTTCTCGTCTATGTAGGAGACTGGGTCCAGCATTATCAGCCCCGGTGTTGCTAAGTGACATGTTCCTATCCCCTATGGTTCTCGTCTACGTAGGGGACTGGGTCCAGCATTATCAGCCCCGGTGTTGCCAAGTGACATGTTCCTATCCCCTATTGTTCTCGTCTATTTAGGAGACAGGATCCGATATTATCAGCCCCGGTGTTGCTAAGTGATATGATCCTATCCCCTATTGTTCTCGTCTATGTAGGAGACAGGATACGATATTATCAGCCCCGGTGTTGCTAAGTGATATGTTCCTATCCCCTATGGTTCTCGTCTACGTAGGGGACTGGGTCCAGCATTATCAGCCCCGGTGTTGCTAAGTGACATGTTCCTATCCCCTATTGTTCTCGTCTATGTAGGAGACAGGATCCGATATTATCAGCCCCGGTGTTGCTAAGTGATATGTTCCTATCCCCTATGGTTCTCGTCTATGTAGGAGACAGGATCCGATACTATCAGCCCCGGTGTTGCTAAGTGATATGTTCCTATCCTCTATGGTTCTCGTCTATGTAGGAGACAGGATCCGATATTATCAGCCCCGGTGTTGCTAAGTGATATGTTCCTATCCCCTATGGTTCTCGTCTATGTAGGGGACTGGGTCCAGCATTATCAGCCCCGGTGTTGCTAAGTGACATGTTCCTATCCCCTATGGTTCTCGTCTCTGTAGGGGACAGGATCTGACCATATGCTTCGCGACACTTTCCACTCCACTGATGTCTGTGCTTCTTGTCCAATCTACTTATATTGTCTGGGCCATGTGGAACTCACAAATTAAGTTTAAACCTAATTGCAGAAATCTGGCATGTCTCGAGCAGTGGCTGAGCAGCTGGTCTTTGTTAAATCTATGTCTCCGACAGCAGCAGGAATCATGGTGACGCTTATCTCGGCTGTGAGCACAGAGTTTATAGCCAACACAGTTGTCGCAACCCTACTGCTACCAATAATCATTGAAGTGGTAAGTATTGAAGGTACTGTAGCATCTTTCAGTTGTGAAGCAAGAGTGAATAAATATTTCATATCACCCACATATGTAGAACGAGCGTACATACGTTCCTCCACGATTTGATAACGCCTTCAACCCACCCAGTTACCCCCCGGTGATATTTCGCCATCGATACAGCAATATCGCATAATATGAAGACTTCACCAGACATTCTGGTAAACATATGTAAGTACACATGTATCAAACAATAGGCTATGTATTTGTTTTCACTTCAGGCGCGCAGTATGGTCGTCCACCCATTGTACATCATGCTTCCTGCTACCATTGTGACGTCATGTGCATTTATGTTGCCAGTGGCAACCCCTCCTAATGCTATAGCATTTGCTGGCGGCGACATCCGAGTCATCGATATGGTAATTCCATGGTTTACACTTTATGTCACATTACGATGTCAGTTTGCAAATATGTTTACTGTATTGTCTGGTCCTGACTCGATTATTTACAGACATATACCTGGAATATTGCTGAGTGCGGCGTAAAACTAAACTCACTCACTCAGTTTCCAAATATGTTATAACTGGTTCATCCAATAGAACGCTATCCCTGATCAGACACCATACACATCAAGCATAACGTTCGGATACACGGAGAAGCAGACTATATGTCACATGTCAACAGACGTCCTAACACATAATGACCGCATTCATCACTACCTTTCCTGCCTGTCATCCTCGATATTCTCCGGGGAGAGTGATCGTAACGTATACCCTGGAGATTATCGAGGATGCCTGCCTATCTGATTAAAGCTTTCCACGATTAGATCCAGTAACTGTCAGAAATATAGCATCAACACCAGCAACTAACTACAGGTTGAAACGCATCACATACTTGTTTTTATTAAGGTGAAGAGCGGCTTCGTCATCAAGATCGTCACCATGCTGTGTGTCTTACTGTCAGTCAACACGTGGGGCACAGCGTACTTCCAACTTCATCACGTCCCGACATGGTTTGCCCCTGCCACGGAATCTTACAACTCATCCTTCCACCTCCAGATTGAGAACAACACTCTACCCATGCACATGCTTCTGTAATATATGTACTTCCATACGGACATCCACTAACAAAAATTACATCTCCAAACTGTTATGATGTAATACATATAGAAACGCATCAACCACCAAAATATACTATCTCCAAACTGTTCTCGTGTCATTGTTCCTTCTATATAAAGTTCTTCCTTAGCAGACGTTACCATCCTCAAACTGTTACCATTGTTCCGTTTACTCATAGACACGTCCGTAATACACACAAAACCACTTCCACCACGTAGAACTGTCCTTCTCAAAGGACTTTGTACATGCGACAATAATGAAACTGGGGATCTACCTAGGAATGGCCATGATGAAACTAGGGATATACCTAGGAATGGCCATGATGAAACTAGGGATCTACCTAGGAATGGCCATGATGAAACTAGGGATCTACCTAGGAATGGCCATGATGACACTAGGGATCTACCTAGGAATGGCCATGATGAAACTAGGGATCTACCTAGGAATGGCCATGATGAAACTAGGGATCTACCAAGGAATGGCCATGATGAAACTAGGGATCTACCTAGGAATGGCCATGATGAAACTAGGGATCTACCTAGGAATGTCCGTGATGAAACTAGGGATCTACCTAGGAATTAGGAAGAGTTACCCGCCCTTTGGGGTTGATGACACGTTTAGGAAGGCTCTGTATTTTTCTCTGAAAATCTACAACACAAAAGGCAACTTGAAGTGGCGAATGTGTGTGATCAAAGGTCTACACACCAGTGTCCGTTTGAGTTATACAGAGCGAGAATAGGAACTTTTCACCACCCACCCGGTACACGGCAGGTGAGCCATGTTGACAGATACACGCCATTCACTCAACGCCGCGATCATGATATTGATACCATGCCTTATCGTTTGATAATATGCGCTCTGATCTTCACAGTGCATTTGTCACTCTCTGCCCTCATCATATGTAACCAGCAGGCTATTCTCAATTACTCATTCGATAATTTTGTGCCGAAAGAAACAACATTTTATTGTGTTACGTGTGACGTCACCAACTCGAACTGTGACCTAATTCTGTCTATATACCATGCCTCTCATGCTGCCCATGCACGAGCTTTGTGTCTACTTGGGGACGACACGCTTCCCGCGCGAGTCGTCATTCAGCGACTGTTGTGCTCTAATGATGTTGAGACAAACCCGGGACCCGTCACACTTGAACAAGTTCAAGATAACTTACTCAGCGCAATTGAAAACATGAAAGCAGAATTAGCTACCGCCAAAAATGACCTAAGTTCACAGATCTCCTCTCTTCGGAAAGACATTAGTGCTATTAGTTCCAAGTGTGAACACCTCGAACACTCTGTAACAGATATTCGTGGAGATATAGATATCATCAAACAAAATCATGATATTGTGAACGACGACATTGATGCCCTCGCGGAGAAAGTCGATTCTGTGATCGAAAACATGTCCAACGTAGATACCGAACTAGACCGGCTGGAATCTTACAGCAGACGTGACAATATCATAATTCATGGTATACCCGAGGCTGACGGCGAGGAGAAGTCTATGACATGCAAGCAGACAGCGTTATCCACTCTTAACGAGCACGCTACTTTCAAGACGTGGGGAACGTCTGACGTTATCCGCGCACATTGGCTTGGCGTTAGGCGGGTTAATGCTACCAGACCTCGACCAATGATTGTAAAGCTGCACATGTCTGACGATAAGGTGCGCTCCCTGAAAGCAAGACCGGCATTCAAGGCAGCGGGACTTGGTATCTCCAGTGACCTAACGTCACGTCAACGTCAGCAACTTCAGGCTTTGAAGGGGACAAACATGTTCGGCTATTTCAAGAATGGCCAGCTGGTGACAGTACCTCGCTCAGCCAGTGGAGCTACCGGATCCACCAACGTACGGGATACCAGAGTTCTCACCAAAACGAGGAAACGGCAAGCGAGGCCGAAATCAACCCTGCCGTAGGATTTGGGCCGAGGCCCGGATCGTATCTCACAGGGTACTGCTGACAATGACACCTGCATTACACCCACTGAACACAGCTTGTGCAACGAAACTCTCTCATTTCTGTGTTGGAATATAAACGGACTTCGTAATAAATCAGGAGATGATGACTTTATAGATTATATTAGAAAATTTAATATTATTTGCCTTCTCGAAACCTTTGTTGACTTTAATTACGACATGAATTGGTTGGTTGATTACAAAGTTTTTTCAAGTTCAGCTGTGAAACTGTCTGATTATGGCAGACTTTCGGGAGCTGTGTGCGTGTGTATACATCAGTCTATAAGCATAAATTCATAACTACAGATATCGACAATTTGATATGTATACACATGTCAGAAGCTTTATTTGCTATTGATAAGCATGTTATTTTGATATGCACATATATACCACCTGAAGGCTCTCCTTATTACAACCATGTTGATACCAGTTGTAGTCTAGATAAACTTGAGGAATTTTTATTAGATATACAATCGGAACTTAGTGATTCACATACTGTTTTGTGTGGTGATCTAAATTCCCGAACTGGTAATGCAAATAACCCTTCAACATCCTCACGTGATGATATATTACATAGATACTTTCCATTTCATGAAGATGATGATGTTAGTGTTGAAAATCGGAAGTCTCACGATACATCTACAAACAAATTTGGCCAGAAACTTTTAGATATATGTTACGCATTGCAATTGTTTATCGTTAATGGGAGAGTATATGGCGATTTACAAGGGGAATATACATTTTGTGCGAATCAAGGTGCTAGTGTCAATGATTATTTTATATGCTCGCCCGATTTCATCCAGTACATAGGCAGGTTGAATATTGGGGATCGGCATAAATCTGACCATTTACCTCTTGAATTAACTTGTATGTTCCCCAATATTTATCATAGCATGAACGATGATAACGGGTCCACAAATATCCAACGACTTGTGTGGAATGATAATTTTGCAAGCACTTTCTTATCGAACGTGAAAGAAAACATAACTTCGTTTGGAGGAATTCTACTCGAAACAATTGATACAGATGTAATTGGAGCCATAAATGACTTTGTGGAACTGTTATCGACTTCAGCTAATTGTATGCTCAAAAATGTCAATCGCAAAGACCGAACAAATACTCTAAATACAGATTGTAGAAATGCGCGACGCAATGCTCGTAAACATCGTCGTAGATTCAGAGTGACTCGTAGTAATTATGATAGACGGAAATATTGCGAAAGTAGAAATAAGTATAAAGCTTGTTGTCGAAAGTATAAGTTTGATATGAGAATCCGCAGACAAGAAAGGTTAGAAAGATCTATAAACAGCCCGTCTGCATTTTGGAAAAGTATCCGCCATTTACAAAAAAGAAATACGTCCGGAAATAGCATAACTAAAACTCAATGGTTAAATCATTTCAAAGATGTATATTCAAACGGTGAGATATTAGACTTCGACGATGAAATTAATAATGACTATTATACAGAAGTAGATCAACTTGTACTAGACAGTCCTATTGCCGAACAGGAAATATTAGAAGCGATAAATCATCTTAAAAATGGGAAGGCTGCTGGACCTGACTTTATCATAATAGAAATGATAAAGTGTTCTAAATTCGAAATTATGCCGTTCCTTACGAAATGTTTCAATAAGCTGTATGAACATGGAATTTTTCCCTGCAGTTGGTCAAGCTCTATAATAAATTCACTTCATAAAAAGGGCGACAGAAACGATCCAGATAATTATCGGGGTATATCATTAATGAGTATCTTGGGGAAAGTATTTACGTTGATATTGAACAATAGACTATCAAACTGGGCGAATATGCGTGATAAGATTCCTGAATCCCAGGCAGGATTTAGAAAGGCATATTCTACCACTGATCATATATTTACTCTGTATGCACAAGTCCAAAAATCACTATCAAAAAGAAAACATAAGTTGTACATAGCATTTGTAGATTTTAAAAAGGCATTCGACTCAGTCAATCGTTTTAAATTATGGCAGTGTTTACGCAAGGCAGGTTTACGAGGGAAAATGGTTAGCATTCTCAAATCAATGTATTCTAACGTTCGATCCTGTGTGCGTTGCAAAGACGGGGTTACAGATTTTTTCGATTGCCCACTTGGTTTAAGACAAGCTGGTTGCTGCTTAAGTCCACTCCTATTTTCCTTCTTCATTAGTGAATTATATCACGATATCAATTTAGCTGGAAAACATGGAATCCAAATGTACCCAGATCTTGTAGAAGTCCTAATGCTCCTTTTTGCTGACGACGTTATTTTAGTTTCGGATACTGTGGTCGGTTTACAAAATCAATTAAATATCTTAGAAAGTTATACTAAAGAATGGAAGTTAACAGTAAATTTAAGCAAAACAGAAATTGTGATATTTAGGAGGGGCGGTCCCGTGGCCATAAACGAACGCTGGTTTTTTGATGGTCAGTTGATTACTGTATCCGATCAATATTCTTACTTAGGGTTTTTGTTTTCAAACAGAATGAACTTGAATAAATGTGCACATAACTTAACTTTACGTGGAAAAAGGCTTTAATACAAGTTTTATCGGTTTTATACAAAGTTGGAACTATGTCACCCAATGTGTTTTTTAAGATATTTAATTCTCAGATTCAACCCATTTTATTATATGGATCTGAAATATGGGGTTTTCAGCGTTTTGATTGTATTGAGAGAGTGCATCTTTTAGCCTGTAAAACGTACCTCAATGTAAGCTCAAAGACACCTAACTGCATGGTATATGGCGAATGTGGCAGATTTCCTTTGTATATCAATTCTCACATAAGATGTTTAAAATATTGGTTTAAGGTTCTAAATATGCACGAACAACGTCTGCCAAAATTAGCTTACAATATGCTTTTAAATCTGGATAATTTGGGAAAACACACTTGGGTAACTGATATCAGAAATTTATTATTTTCTCACGGTTTCGGTTTCGTATGGTTGAACCAAACAATTGGCGATGTGAACTGGTTTATTAATGAATTTCGTGTTAGATCAATAGATATGTTCAATCAAGAATGGAAATCCACCCTAGATTCAAGCTCACGATATGAATATTACAGGACCTTTAAAACGTTACTCCAGCCAGAAAAATACTTATCAATAATTTCAACATATAGTTTAAGAACAATGTT